CAGACGCTATCCGACAAGCCCATATGACAGACAGACGCTATCCGACAAGCCCATATGTCAGACAGACAGACGCTATCCGACAAGCCCATATGTCAGACAGACGCTATCCGACAAGCCCATATGTCAGACAGACAGACGCTATCCGACAAGCCCATATGACAGACAGACGCTACCCGACAAGCCCATATGTCAGACAGACAGACGCTACCCGACAAGCCCATATGTCAGACAGACGCTATCCGACAAGCCCATATGTCAGACAGACAGACGCTACCCGACAAGCCCATATGTCAGACAGACGCTACCCGACAAGCCCATATGTCAGACAGACGCTATCCGACAAGCCCATATGTCAGACAGACGCTATCCGACAAGCCCATATGTCAGACAGACAGACGCTACCCGACAAACCCATATGTCAGACAGACGCTATCCGACAAGCCCATATGTCAGACAGACAGACGCTACCCGACAAGCCCATATGAAAGACAGACGCTATCCGACAAGCCCATATGACAGACAGACGCTACCCGACAAGCCCATATGTCAGACAGACGCTATCCGACAAGCCCATATGACAGACAGACGCTATCCGACAAGCCCATATGTCAGACAGACAGACGCTACCCGACAAGCCCATATGTCAGACAGACGCTACCCGACAAGCCCATATGTCAGACAGACGCTATCCGACAAGCCCATATGACAGACAGACGCTACCCGACAAGCCCATATGTCAGACAGACGCTATCCCACAAGCCCATATGACAGACAGACGCTATCCTACAAGCCCATATGACAGACAGACGCTACCCGACAAGCCCATATGACAGACAGACGCTATCCGACAAGCCCATATGTCAGACAGACAGACGCTATCCGACAAGCCCATATGACAGACAGACGCTATCCGTCAAGCCCATATGACAGACAGACGCTATCCGACAAGCCCATATGTCAGACAGACAGACGCTATCCGACAAGCCCATATGACAGACAGACGCTATCCGACAAGCCCATATGTCAGACAGACGCTATCCGACAAGCCCATATGACAGACAGACGCTATCCCACAAGCCCATATGACAGACAGACGCTATCCGACAAGCCCATATGACAGACAGACGCTACCCGACAAGCCCATATGACAGACAGACGCTATCCGACAAGCCCATATGTCAGACAGACAGACGCTATCCGACAAGCACATATGACAGACAGACGCTATCCGACAAGCCCATATGTCAGACAGACGCTATCCGACAAGCCCATATGACAGACAGACGCTATCCCACAAGCCCATATGACAGACAGACGCTATCCGACAAGCCCATATGACAGACAGACGCTATCCGACAAGCCCATATGTCAGACAGACGCTATCCGACAAGCCCATATGACAGACAGACGCTATCCTACAAGCCCATATGACAGACAGACGCTATCCCACAAGCCCATATGACAGACAGACGCTATCCCACAAGCCCATATGACAGACAGACGCTATCCCACAAGCCCATATGACAGACAGACGCTATCCGACAAGCCCATATGATAGACGCTATCCCACAAGCCCATATGATAGACAGACGCTATCCGACAAGCCCATATGACAGACGCTATCCCACAAGCCCATATGACAGACAGACGCTATCCGACAAGCCCATATGACAGACAGACGCTATCCGACAAGCCCATATGACAGACGCTATCCCACAAGCCCATATGACAGACAGACGCTACCCGACAAGCCCATATGACAGACGCTATCCCACAAGCCCATATGACAGACAGACGCTATCCGACAAGCCCATATGACAGACGCTATCCGACAAGCCCATATGACAGACAGACGCTACCCGACAAGCCCATATGACAGACAGACGCTATCCGACAAGCCCATATGTCAGACAGACACTATCCGACAAGCCCATATGTCAGACAGACGCTATCCGACAAGCCCATATGACAGACAGACGCTATCCGACAAGCCCATATGACAGACAGACGCTATCCGACAAGCCCATATGACAGACAGACGCTATCCGACAAGCCCATATGACAGACAGACGCTATCCCACAAGCCCATATGACAGACAGACGCTATCCGACAAGCCCATATGATAGACGCTATCCCACAAGCCCATATGATAGACAGACGCTATCCGACAAGCCCATATGACAGACGCTATCCCACAAGCCCATATGACAGACAGACGCTATCCGACAAGCCCATATGACAGACAGACGCTATCCGACAAGCCCATATGACAGACAGACGCTATCCCACAAGCCCATATGTCAGACAGACAGACGCTATCCGACAAGCCCATATGACAGACAGACGCTATCCCACAAGCCCATATGATAGACAGACGCTATCCGACAAGCCCATATGACAGACGCTATCCCACAAGCCCATATGACAGACAGACGCTATCCCACAAGCCCATATGACAGACAGACGCTACCCGACAAGCCCATATGAAAGACAGACGCTACCCGACAAGCCCATATGACAGACAGACAGACGCTACCCGACAAGCCCATATGTCTAGTGACAGACAGACGCTATCCGACAAGCCCATATGACAGACAGACGCTACCCGACAAGCCCATATGTCTAGTGACAGACAGACGCTATCCGACAAGCCCATATGACAGACAGACGCTATCCGACAAGCCCATATGAAAGACAGACGCTACCCGACAAGCCCATATGACAGACAGACGCTATCCGACAAGCCCATATGACAGACAGACGCTATCCGACAAGCCCATATGACAGACAGACGCTATCCGACAAGCCCATATGAAAGACAGACGCTACCCGACAAGCCCATATGACAGACAGACGCTATCCGACAAGCCCATATGACAGACAGACGCTATCCGACAAGCCCATATGTCAGACAGACAGACGCTATCCGACAAGCCCATATGTCAGACAGACAGACGCTATCCGACAAGCCCATATGAAAGACAGACGCTACCCGACAAGCCCATATGACAGACAGACGCTATCCGACAAGCCCATATGTCAGACAGACGCTATCCGACAAGCCCATATGACAGACAGACGCTATCCGACAAGCCCATATGAAAGACAGACGCTACCCGACAAGCCCATATGACAGACAGACGCTATCCGACAAGCCCATATGTCAGACAGACGCTATCCGACAAGCCCATATGACAGACAGACGCTATCCGACAAGCCCATATGAAAGACAGACGCTACCCGACAAGCCCATATGACAGACAGACGGTGGAAGACCAGAAGGAAATCCAGAACAAAACGGCCAGCACGTCTTAAGGGATCCCCCACCGTTTGAAATAGCTGTCGGGCGGGGATGGGAGGGGCGTTTATTACTGAAGGGGCTTCTGGGAATTAGTCGTGGCAGTGGTGTCGGGGGAGGGGGTGGCTGAGAGATTTACTTAAGTACTGGTACTGAGGCGATGAGGGCACACAAGAAAAATGACGTGGTTATTGTAACACCAGCAGGCAAAAAATAGATAGCACAAATAGAAGACAGATACACTTGATTGGATAGTGCAAGCTACATCCAGCAAACAATAGATAGCACCAACAGGAGACAAAAAATAGATAGCACAAATAGAAGACAGATATACTGGATTGGATAGTGCAAGCTACATCCAGCAAACAAACAATAGATAGATTTGTCCACTCTTTAGACATGTAATCCCATATCCTTGACATGTCCCGCCATGAAATGTCATGTCCTTGACATGTCCCGCCATGAAATGTCATGTCCTTGACATGTCCCGCCATGAAATGTCATGTCCTTGACATGTCCCGCCATGAAATGTCATGTCCTTGACATGTCCCGCCATGAAATGTCATGTTCTTGACATGTCCCACCATGAAATGTCATGTCCTTGACATGTCCCGCCATGTCATGTCCACAAATGCTAAGCTACCTTATAGACAAACATTAAATAAAGATCAGCAATAGAGGTCTACTAGTCAAAGTGTCGACCCTCACAAAGTGCTCAATGAAAGAAGAAGGTGAACGGGAAAAAAAGTCACAGAAAAAAAGTCACCGCGGAAAATTAATCGAAAAACAAGTCACAGAAAAAATACACGTTTGTGTATTAAGATTTTTTTTTCTTTTTTTGGATTTACTTGTTGAGAATTGACATTATTGGGTGCGTATAAATATGGGTCGTATAGACTGATTGTGAAAATAGTAGTCCGACATTGATCTTCACAATAAGTACAAAAGATAATTAATTAATACCACAAATTTTGTTACATATTTATTTCAATACCTATTAGAAAAAGTAAAAAAAGTAGGCAAGTTTTTGTGTTTTGTGGCTTTTATTTGACCGCAGGACTTTGTCGGCCTAGTCCGTCCACATTGTGTATGTTTTGCTTCAATAAGTTCAATGACAGCCTTTGTAGCGTGTCGGCTTTTTTCTTGATTCTATGTTTTGTGACGTAATGAGTGCGAGAAATGTGGGCAGTAAAGGTGGCTGGACTGTTATTGGGACGAGTAGAGGGCATCAAATCATATTAACTATGTGTTATTCCCATTTCACGCTGATTCAAATTTGTATTTTAAAAACAGCGGAAACTGAAAGGGTTGGAACATTCTAGATCTACTTAATTCTATAACTGAGTTAAAACCTAAACACTTCAGACTTAATAATTTACGTGTTACCATACAAACACAACATACGCAAATTATATATATATATATATATATATATATATATATATATATATATATATATATATATATATATATATATATATATATATCTTAAATGTTTAAATTACTATTAATGAATCGTATGTTGATTTGCACTTTCTGAAAACATATAAGTATAAGCAATTTCCATGCAAATACACATTTGTGCACTTTTGTCCTGTGCTTTTTTTTTCCTGTGACTTTTTTTGTGTTTTTTCCTGTGACTTTTTTGTGTTTTTTCCTGTGACTTTTTTCCTCCAATAAAGAAGAAACCTTGCCTTGCAGACTGGCTAAGAGAGATGAGACGATGGAAAGTTCACTAGACAGCGGCTACGACTATGACGGCATTCCAGTCAACAGCAGCGATTTTGGGGAGGAGGACAGTTGTGGGTAAGTCCTGGGTGAGGGGAGGGGGCAAGTGTGGGTAAGTCTTGGGTGAGGGGAGGGGGCAAGTGTGGGTAAGTGTGGGTAAGTTCTGGGTGAGGGGAGGGGGCAAGTGTGGGTAAGTGTGGGTAAGTTCTGGGTGAGGGGAGGGGGCAAGTGTGGGTAAGTGTGGGTAAGTTCTGGGTGAGGGGAGGGGGCAAGTGTGGGTAAGTGTGGGTAAGTTCTGGGTGAGGGGGCAAGTGTGGGTAAGTGTGGGTAAGTGTGGGTGAGGGGGCAAGTGTGGGTAAGTGTGGGTAAGTGTGGGTAAGTGTGGGTGAGGGGGCAAGTGTGGGTAAGTGTGGGTAAGTGTGGGTAAGTTCTGGGTGAGGGGGCAAGTGTGGGTAAGTGTGGGTAAGTTCTGGGTGAGGGGAGGGGGCAAGTGTGGGTAAGTTCTGGGTGAGGGGAGGGGGCAAGTGTGGGTAAGTCCTGTGTGAGGGGAGGGGGCAAGTGTGGGTAAGTTCTGGGTGAGGGGAGGGGGCAAGTGTGGGTAAGTTCTGGGTGAGGGGAGGGGGCAAGTGTGGGTAAGTTCTGGGTGAGGGGAGGGGGCAAGTGTGGGTAAGTTCTGGGTGAGGGGAGGGGGCAAGTGTGGGTAAGTTCTGTGTGAGGGGAGGGGGCAAGTGTGGGTAAGTTCTGGGTGAGGGGGGGGGCGAGTGTGGGTAAGTTCTGGGTGAGGGGGGGGGGGGGGGCGAGTGTGGGTAAGTTCTGGGTGAGGAGGGGGACAGTTGTGGGTAAGTTCTGGGTGAGGGGAGGGGGCAAGTGTGGGTAAGTTCTGGGTGAGGGGGGGGGGGGCGAGTGTGGGTAAGTTCTGGGTGAGGAGGGGGACAGTTGTGGGTAAGTGTGGGTAAGTTCCGGGTGAGGGGAGGGGGCAAGTGTGGGTAAGTCTTGTGTGAGGGGAGGGGGCAAGTGTGGGTAAGTCTTGTGTGAGGGGAGGGGGCAAGTGTGGGTAAGTCCTGGGTGAGGGGAGGGGGCAAGTGTGGGTAAGTCTTGTGTGAGGGGAGGGGGCAAGTGTGGGTAAGTTCTGGGTGAGGGGAGGGGGCAAGTGTGGGTAAGTGTGGGTAAGTTCTGGGTGAGGGGAGGGGGCAAGTGTGGGTAAGTCCTGTGTGAGGGGAGGGGGCAAGTGTGGGTAAGTTCTGGGTGAGGGGAGGGGGCAAGTGTGGGAAGTCCTGGGTGAGGGGAGGGGGCAAGTGTGGGTAAGTCTTGTGTGAGGGGAGGGGGCAAGTGTGGGTAAGTCCTGTGTGAGGGGAGGGGGCAAGTGTGGGTAAGTCCTGGGTGAGGGGAGGGGGCAAGTGTGGGTAAGTCTTGTGTGAGGGGAGGGGGCAAGTGTGGGTAAGTTCTGGGTGAGGGGAGGGGGCAAGTGTGGGTAAGTGTGGGTAAGTTCTGGGTGAGGGGAGGGGGCAAGTGTGGGTAAGTCCTGTGTGAGGGGAGGGGGCAAGTGTGGGTAAGTTCTGGGTGAGGGGAGGGGGTAAGTGTGGGTAAGTTCTGGGTGAGGGGAGGGGGCAAGTGTGGGTAAGTCTTGTGTGAGGGGAGGGGGCAAGTGTGGGTAAGTTCTGGGTGAGGGGAGGGGGCAAGTGTGGGTAAGTTCTGGGTGAGGGGGGCAAGTGTGGGTAAGTCTTGTGTGAGGGGAGGGGGCAAGTGTGGGTAAGTTCTGGGTGAGGGGGACAGTTGTGGGTAAGTGTGGGTAAGTTCTGGGTGAGGGGGGCAAGTGTGGGTAAGTTCTGGGTGAGGGGAGGGGACAAGTGTGGGTAAGTTCTGGGTGAGGGGAGGGGACAAGTGTGGGTAAGTTCTGGGTGAGGGGAGGGGGCAAGTGTGGGTAAGTCCTGTGTGAGGGGAGGGGGCAAGTGTGGGTAAGTCCTGGGTGAGGTGAAGAAAAAGTTACAGCGAAAACTGTCACAGGAAATATAGTCACATGGGTAAAGTCACATATGTATATTTGCGCGGAACTTGTTCATACTTTTATGTTTTAAGTATTTAGAAAGTACAAATCAATCTACGATTAATTAAATGCAATATAAACATGGGAGGTATATGTGCGTATGTTGTATGCGTATGGTTATTGCAAGTGTGTTCATGGTCTAAGGTGAGTGCACCTGTGTTGATGGTCTAAGGATGAGTGCACGTGTGTTGATGGTCTAAGGATGAGTGCACGTGTGTTGATGGTCTAAGGGTGAGTGCACGTGTGTTGGTGGTCTAAGGGTGAGTGCACGTGTGTTGATGGTCTAAGGATGAGTGCACGTGTGTTGATGGTCTAAGGGTGAGTGCACATGTGTTGATGGTCTAAGGATGAGTGCACGTGTGTTGATGGTCTAAGGGTGAGTACACGTGTTGATGGTCTAAGGATGAGTGCACGTGTGTTGATGGTCTAAGGATGAGTGCACGTGTGTTGATGGTCTAAGGATGAGTGCACGTGTGTTGATGGTCTAAGGATGAGTGCACGTGTTTTGACGGCCTAAGGATGAGTGCACGTGTTTTGACGGCCTAAGGATGAGTGCACGTGTTTTGACGGTCTAAGGATGAGTGCACGTGTGTTGACGGTTTAAGGTGAGTGCACGTGTGTTGACGGTTTAAGGTGAGTGCACGTGTGTTGACGGTTTAAGGTGAGTGTACGTGTGTTGATGATCCCTCTCGTCCCCAGCTACGGTGAAGCAGGAGACAGCCAGTGGCTGGAGCTGACCGTCTACCCGCTGCTGCTGCTGCAGGGCATTGTGGGTAACCTCATGTCTATCCCCGTGCTGGTCCGCATCAGCCGCAACTCCTGGTCCACCGTCATGTACCTGGCACTGCTCACTGGCACTGACCTCATCATCCTCCTCATTCGCTGTGGCGGCGCATGGTAGGTAATCCTGGCACGTCACGTGCTAGCTAATCCTGGCACGTCACGTGCTAGCTAATCCTGGCACATTACATGCTAGCTAATCCTGGCACATCACGTGCTAGCTAATCTTGGCACATCACGTGCTAGCTAATCCTGGCACATCACGTGCTAGCTAATCCTGGCACATCACGTGCTAGTAATGCAATGACCCTAGCCTTGACCCTAGCCTTGACCCTAGCCATGACCTATGTTTCAGGTACGACACCCTAATGATGGTCAAGCTGAGCCAGCAGATCATGAACTCCTCAGACGCCGTCTGTAAGACGTACATGTTCGCCTTCACCTTGATCAAGCACGTCAGTCCCTGGCTCACGGTGGCCATCTCCGTAGAGATGATGGTAAATATATCTTGCTTACATCGATGTGTTGCTTACATCGATGTGTTGCTTACATGAATGTGTTGTTTACATGGATGTGTAATTTACATGGATGTGTAGTTTACATGAATGTGTAGTTTACATGGATGTGTAATTTACATGGATGTGTAGTTTACATGGATGTGTAGTTTACATGAATGTGTAGTTTACATGGATGTGTTGTTTACATGGATGTGTAGTTTACATGGATGTGTAGTTTACATGGATGTGTAGTTTACATGGATGTGTTGTTTACATGGATGTGTTGTTTACATGGATGTGTAGTTTACATGGATGTGTAGTTTACATGGATGTGTTGTTTACATGGATGTGTTGTTTACATGGATGTGTAGTTTACATGAATGTGTAGTTTACATGGATGTGTAATTTACATGGATGTGTAGTTTACATGGATGTGTAGTTTACATGGATGTGTAGTTTACATGGATGGGTAATTTACATGGATGTTTTGCTTACATGAATGTATTGCTTACATGAATGTTTTGCTTACATGAATGTATTGCTTACATGAATGTTTTGCTTACATGAATGTATTGTTTACATGGATGTGTTGCTTACATGAATGTTCTCTTATGTACCCATCACGTTTGATGGTAAACATCCTTACCTTACTTGGAAAGTATTTAGACTTGGTTTTTTTAGTTGCATAGTGAATTAATTTTTGTTACATAATTTTTAGTTTATATGGTCAATTATGTTTTGGTTGATGTGTTTTTAATTAGCTGTTAAATTAGCTTTAGTCTGGTGGTTTATGTCTGTTTTTATGTAAATACTTCGTCCATTGGTACTTATTTGTATTGAGTAACCTTTAAACAAAAACGTTTTATTCTTTAGTATTAGCAGAAAACAGTCGATGTTAATGGACTTTAATCAATCAATTTTAGACATTTTTGTGAATTATGTTTTAAAAACCTGCTTTACATTAATGACAAATGTAACAAAAACATGATTTCACAATTGACGGGTCTCATGGGACATGGGAAACATACAGGAATTCAGTTATCTCCCTTTTAAAGGTTGGTAATCGCGTTTGTCTCCTCTCCCCCACTACACCCGCCCAGGGGAGCAGATAGCCAAGTCCTAGTCGCTTTACTCTGCCGCACCTACAATTCCAGGGGTGTGAAAGAACGTTGTACCGGCAGTTTTACCGGCAAAAATTACCGGCAGTTTTGCCGGCAGTTTTACACTAATCAGGCGTGACGAAAACCTTTTGTAAACAAAAAACTAGCTTCAAGATCAGGAGGTAAACTCTGTGTGTCTCCGCTACTCCAAGTTTAGAAATTAATGTATCGCCCCTGCTCCAAGTTTAGAAATTAATGTATCGCCCCTGCTCCAAGTTTAGAAATTAATGTATCGCCTCTGCTTCAAGTTTAGAAATTAATGTATCGCCCCTGCTCCAAGTTTAGAAATTAATGTATCGCCTCTGCTTCAAGTTTAGAAATTAATGTATCGCCTCTGCTTCAAGTTTAGAAATTAAGCTCCATGGGTCGCCCCTGGTCCAAGTTTAGAAATTAATGTATCGCCTCTGCTTCAAGTTTAGAAATTAAGCTCCATGGGTCGCCCCTGGTCCAAGTTTAAAATTAACAAGCCGACCCGCAGCGTATCATACGCCGCTATTAAGTTGTTTTATTTTCTACTTTTCAGTAATTCATAATTTGTGAATTCGACAGTACCAATACTGCCACTGAAAAGATTTGCTTTAAAACACTAACCCCCCCCCCTTCCTTTCCCATAACCCCGACCCTACACCCCCCCCCCCCCCCGTGAAAGCAGCCTCCTCTTAGTTATTTCTTTATAGTTACCTCCTGTAAGTTTAAAATCGAACTTAATTATCTGCCCCTAATAGAAACCCGGCTCTACGGCTCTACGATTTGTAAACATTTAGCGTGACCACAACTCACCAGACAATGTGGGGGTTGGGTGGGGGTGGTAGTGATAGTGATAGAGAGAAAGAGAGGGGACTGCAAGGAGGCGCTTGCAGCTTGTTTTCTAACGTCTCCCAGAAGAGAATTATATATATAGATGTGTCTCCACTACTCAAAGTTTAGAAATTAAGCTCCATGTGTCGCCCCCTGCTCAAAGTTTAGAAATTAAGCTCCGTGTGTCGCTCCACAGATCGCTACACGGTGGCCCTGGAAAACGTACGTCATGTGCACGGCCGAGAGGTCCCGCTACGTCCTGATGCTCATCACCATCATCATCGTCTGCCTCGACATCAACTTCTTCTGGACCTATGGAGCGCCCGTGCTAGAGATGGGTTGTAGGTGAGTGACGGACTCTAGACCGGCAGGTGTACACGCAAGACACATGTACATACAGATATTGCACGTGTACACACAGCCATTACACTTAAACAGCATATGTACACACAGCATTTGCACCGTACACAGAGGAATAATACACGTACACAGACCTTACATGTACAGACAGGCTTTTAGCACTATTTTTTCCATTGTGTGTCTCCACACCTTGATATCGCCACCTATGTCTCCACACCTTGATATCGCCACCTGTCTCCACACCTTGATATCGCCACCTGTCTCCACACCTTGATATCACATGTCTCCACACCTTGATATCGCCACCCATGTCTCCACACCTTGATATCGCCACCTGTCTCCACACCTTGATATCGCCACCCATGTCTCCACACCTTGATATCGCCACCTATGTCTCCACACCTTGATATCACATGTCTCCACACCTTGATATCGACACCTATGTCTCCACACCTTGATATCGCCACCTATGTCTCCACACCTTGATATCGCCACCTATGTCTCCACAGGTACACCGAAGAATTCTCCGAACAGTTCCGCGAGTGGATCTGGCCGGCCCTGGACAACGCAGTGGAGCTGGTCCTGCCCCTAGTCACCGTGTCCGTCTGTTTTTTCCTGACCGCCACGACCATGATCCGGCGGCCGGTGGCCCGAGAACACGACATGGGCGCCGAGATGGAGAAGTACTTCTTCGAGCTGGGCACCCTCCGAGATTTCCGGACTATCTGCTTGGTCGTCTGCCTCGTCTTCATCTGCCTGCACACCTTCCAGGTCATCTACCACGTCATCAACTTCCTGTACATGAAGGGCTACCTGCACATGGACTGCGCCGCCTATAGGAGCTTTGACGAGACGGTCCTAGACATAGGTACGACCTTGACCTACGTCTTCTACGGAGCTAAGATCTACCTGTACCTGGCCCTGAGCTCTGCCTTCAGGACGCGAGTCCGCCAGGGCTTGAGCTACCTGCTGGCCAAGCTGCGGGCCGTGTCCAAGTACCTGTGTAAGTGTGGCACCCAGTGGATCCCCATCTCCCTGCAGGAGACCAGCCCGGCCCCCAGACCCCCCGCTGACCTCTTGCTTGTACGCGCTGACCACTCCGGTGAGGCCTCGACTATTTCCGCGGAGAACCGGCCACGGGGGGAGCCGTTTCACCAGTCTAAAGGTGAAGGGTCCGCACGTGCAGGGGCGGACCTCGACGGTAGAGCTCTAGGAGACACAAGAGGTCAGTCACCTGACCGACATGAAGTCATGCCACTACAGGCTATAGGGACCAAAGTGTGATACTGACCAGCACTGCAAGATTCCTAGACTTGGTAGAACGACTTCAATGTCTTTCAACCATTGGAGCTCCACAATGGGGGACATAAACAGAGATCTCAACAAGGTTGTGTATAATTCATCGACACAGTTATCTGACGCGTCTAATCAACTATCTAACAACTCGGGCTTGGATGGAAGACAAGCATCGTTACACACCAAACTTTTTGAACCAACAGAACTAGCTCTAGAGTCTGCTCTCACATGTTTGCTGAGCTAAGCTATTGTTGCACTCTAGCCGTACCAAGTCATCCTGTACCTGGCAATCTTACAGACACGTCAAACATGTGTGCAGTGACCTGTGTGGCTTTTTAAAGTCAACTTGGAATTATTTCAATCTTAGTTTAGTCCGTCATTCAAGTCATTCAAGTCAAACGCTGTCTAACATTGCTATATATCACACTCCAATAAATGAGACATGTGACGCTCCATACAATGATATACGTGACGCTCAATATAATGATATACGTGATGATCAATATAATGATATATCATACACCATATAACAATATATGTGACGCTCCATATAATGATACATATCATACTAAGTCTAACTAAAAATGTCATGATATCATGAGAGCTGGGTTACGTTGTGTGAACAAAAATCATCATTCAGCCACTAGTACACACTCCAAGAATCACCATTCATTCAGCCACTAGTACACACTCCAAGAATCACCATTCATTCAGCCACTAGTACACACTCCAAGAATCACCATTCATTCAGCCACTAGTACACACTCCAAGAATCACCATTCATTCAGCCACTAGTACACACTCCAAGAATCACCATTCATTCAGCCACTAGTACACACTCCAAGAATCACCATTCATTCAGCCACTAGTACACACTCCAAGAATCACCATTCATTCAGCCACTAGTACACACTCCAAGAATCACCATTCATTCAGCCACTAGTACACACTCCAAGAATCACCATTCATTCAGCCACTAGTACACACTCCAAGAATCACCATTCATTCAGCCACTAGTACACACTCCAAGAATCACCATTCAGCCACTAGTACACACTCCAAGAATCACCATTCAGCCACTAGTACACACTCCAAGAATCACCATTCAGCCACTAGTACACACTCCAAGAATCACCATTCAGCCACTGGTATACATGCTTTATATGATGAAAGCGAATCTAGATTTCATATTTGTGTTGATCAGTGTTTACTATTAGATCGATGTGTCTGTGTTTTCTAGTAATATAGTTTCAAACTTTGATTGTCAATTTATAAGCTTATTTATACAGTGATTTGAATCTAAATATATACTTTAACAAAAATAAAGGTTTTAAAATTCATCATTATGTATCTTTTGAGATGGCTTCTCTAACAACACTGGACAACATATCATTAGCCTCCTCTAACAACATATCATTAGCCTCCTCTAACAACATATCATTAGCCTCCTCTAACAACATATCATTAGCCTCCTCTAACAACATATCATTAGCCTCCTCTAACAACACTGGACAACATATCATTAGCCTCCTCTAACAACATATCATTAGCCTCCTCTAACAACACTGGACAACATATCATTAGCCTCCTCTAACAACATATCATTAGCCTCCTCTAACAACACTGGACTACATAGCATTAGCCTCCTCTAACAACATATCATTAGCCTCCTCTAACAACACTGGACTACATATCATTAGCCTCCTCTAACAACATATCATTAGCCTCCTCTAACAACATATCATTAGCCTCCTCTAACAACACTGGACTACATATCATTAGCCTCCACTAACAACACTGGACAACATAGCATTAGCCTCCACTAACAACACCGGACTAAACTATATTAACCAGTTAGACAACAAGGGTCTAGCATCAGAAAACAGTTCACCACAGAACAATGTGTTTCTCCACATGGTGAAAACCTTTAGAGCAGCCTCCAGTCATTTTCTCAAGTGTAATGGCTTCTTAACAATAGCTGCTACATCATTAGCTGCCTCCCCCCCCCTCCCCTGTTTGTCCCAGTCTGCCCTGATGGGGAGGGGGGGGGCACAAAGTACAGGTAAGAGGTGAGCAACTTAAAATCTTTGCTGAGATTTATGACGTTTAACTGGGTCTAAAAATAGAACAGATAGGAAACAAGCATGGTGTGAGCGGGGAAGCAGGTAGAAGAGTGCCAATGTTGAGTCATCTACCTGAGTTCTCCACTGCCACCACTGAATACACTACAGAGAGATCACTTGCAGAGAAAATAAAAATAAGAAGCGCCACTAGAAACACCACCAATATCACCACCAGTATCACCACTAGAAACACCACCAGTACCACCACTAGAAACACCACCAGTACCACCACTAGAAACACCATTAGTACCACATATGTTTCACCACTAAGTATTGTACCGAGATGACATAGAACTGTACCAAGAGAGGTCTAGACAAAAATAGAATAATGTTAATGTTTCAGTCAACAAGTAATAGGTCTAGACAGGCAAACTATGATTGAACTATAGCAAACGTTTGAACAACTGGCACATCATAGTGAGTTAAAGATTGAGTGCTATGTGTCTATAGACAGGCAAACTATGATTGAACTATAGCAAAGGTTTGAACAACTGGCACATCATAGTGAGTTAAAGATTGAGTGCTATGTGGCTATAGACAGGCAAACTATGATTGAACTATAGCAAACGTTTGAACAACTGGCGCATCATAGTGAGTTAAAGACTGAGTGCTACGTGGCTACCATTCCTCTCCCCCAGCACCCAGTTGATAATCTCTCCCCCCCCCCCCCCATGCCTTCCTCTCTAAAATTTATTTTTTGTTGAAAGTGGTGTTGGCAGGGGATGAAAACTTTTTTACACTAAAATTTGTGGATTAATATTGAAAAAAGCAAAACATGGAGAACAGTTTGGTTCTGGAGAAGCAATATCCTAGATATACATAAAATAAGTAGTAAGGGCATAGGCAGAGGTGTTAGGTGGATGAGAACTCCCCCCTTTCCTCCCCCTCCCAGGGAACAGCTGTTTTTCTCATGCTGTACACATGTTGCTGTCACTCATTCAGATGTTTAGTTGCTATGGTTTCTGTGTTAAACCACACAAAAAAGGGGGCACCATGAACAATGGAGGATTCAAATATAGGTCATCATTAGCAGAGGCGGGAGGGAGGAGGGGTTGATAGAAGGAGGGGTGGGTAAAGCACCAGCCAATGGACCCAATATATATATATATATATGGTGAACTCTAAATTAATTTAAAAGTTTTTTGTAATAATAAGAAGGTCTTGTTTTTGCACTAGCTGTTTGTAATGTCATTTAAAATATGCACATTGTGCAAAATTAAATAAAGCAGGAGTGATCTCCCCAAAATCTTCTCATACATTACATTTTTAATTAGAATAGTCGCATAGAAAAAAGAATTGCACACCCAATGTATATAAACAATATGTGTGTACAATAGAGCAGAAAATTAATGCTTTGTAAAGAAAATATTGATTGATTTTTATAAAGTTAATATAACTCTAATTCTAATTTCAAATATAAGAAATGTCATCAAGGTAACTAAAACGGTACTCAATTTTCATGTTTATAGACACACAGACAGACAGACAAACAGGCTTGTGTAAAACTGAGATTTTGACAAATCTTGATTTCAGTTTTTTGCACAATTACTAAAAACAAATTAATCTAGGCTCATTTGTAGTTGGAGATTTGACATGAAGGCGGACATGACAAGTCATTGTAACAATGGTACTCATATAGTGGCAAATAGAGAAGTGACAATGGTACTCATAAAGTGGTCTATAGAGAAGTGACAATGGTACTCATAAAGTGGTCTATAGAGAGGTGACAATGGTACTCATAAAGTGGTCTATAGAGAGGTGACAATGGTACTCATAAAGTGGTCTATAGAGAGGTGACAATGGTACTCATATAGTGGCAAATAGAGAAGTGACAATGGTACTCATAAAGTGGTCTATAGAGAAGTGACAATGGTACTCATAAAGTGGTCTATAGAGAGGTGACAATGGTACTCATAAAGTGGTCTATAGAGAGGTGACAATGGTACTCATAAAGTGGTCTATAGAGAGGTGACAATGGTACTCATATAGTGGCAAATAGAGAAGTGACAATGGTACTCATAAAGTGGTCTATAGAGAAGTGACAATGGTACTCATAAAGTGGTCTATAGAGAAGTGACAATGGTACTCATAAAGTGGTCTATAGAGAGGTGACAATGGTACTCATAAAGTGGTCTATAGAGAAGTGACAATGGTACTCATATAGTGGTCTATAGAGAAGTGACAATGGTACTCATAAAGTGGTCTATAGAGAGGTGACAATGGTACTCATAAAGTGGTCTATAGAGAAGTGACAATGGTACTCATATAGTGGCAAATAGAGAAGTGACAATGGTACTCATATAGTGGTCTATAGAGAGGTGACAATGGTACTCATATAGTGGTCTATAGAGAAGTGACAATGGTACTCATAAAGTGGCAAATAGAGAAGTGACAATGGTACTCATAAAGTGGTCTATAGAGAAGTGACAATGGTACTCATAAAGTGGCAAATAGAGAAGTGACAATGGTACTCATAAAGTGGTCTATAGAGAAGTGACAATGGTACTCATAAAGTGGTCTATAGAGAGGTGACAATGGTACTCATAAAGTGGTCTATAGAGAAGTGACAATGGTACTCATAAAGTGGTCTATAGAGAGGTGACAATGGTACTCATAAAGTGGTCTATAGAGAAGTGACAATGGTACTCATAAAGTGGTCTATAGAGAAGTGACAATGGTACTCATATAGTGGCAAATAGAGAGGTGACAATGGTACTCATAAAGTGGTCTATAGAGAAGTGACAATGGTACTCATAAAGTGGTCTATAGAGAAGTGACAATGGTACTCATAAAGTGGTCTATAGAGAAGTGACAATGGTACTCATAAAGTGGTCTATAGAGAAGTGACAATGGTACTCATAAAGTGGCAAATAGAGAGGTGACAATGGTACTCATATAGTGGTCTATAGAGAAGTGACAATGGTACTCATAAAGTGGTCTATAGAGAGGTGACAATGGTACTCATATAGTGGCAAATAGAGAAGTGACAATGGTACTCATAAAGTGGTCTATAGAGAAGTGACAATCGTACTCATAAAGTGGCAAATAGAGAAGTGACAATGGTACTCATAAAGTGGTCTATAGAGAGGTGACAATGGTACTCATATAGTGGTCTATAGAGAAGTGACAATGGTACTCATAAAGTGGTCTATAGAGAAGTGACAATGGTACTCACATTCGTCTCTGAACTTTGGCTCAGCACTTGGCCCACACCTGGCCAGAGTCCGTATCAGCTCCACGTGTACGGCATGCTGATCCCTGTAGGCTGGCTCGTCAAAAAACATTTGTAGTTGCATGTAAACTCTGTCTAGAACCTGCAGTAAGACAGACTTTTGTATTGCATGTAAACTCTGTCTAGAACCTGCAGTAAGACAGACTTTTGTAGTTGCATGTAAACTCTGTCTAGAACCTGCAGTAAGACAGACTTTTGTATTGCATGTAAACTCTGTCTAGAACCTGCAGTAAGACAGACTTTTGTATTGCATGTAAACTCTGTCTAGAACCTGCAGTAAGACAGACTTTTGTATTGCATGTAAACTCTGTCTAGAACCTGCAGTAAGACAGACTTTTGTATTGCATGTAAACTCTGTCTAGAACCTGCAGTAAGACAGACTTTTGTATTGCATGTAAACTCTGTCTAGAACCTGCAGTAAGACAGACTTTTGTATTGCATGTAAACTCTGTCTAGAACCTGCAGTAAGACAGACTTTTGTAGTTGCATGTAAACTCTGTCTAGAACCTGCAGTAAGACAGACTTTTGTATTGCATGTAAACTCTGTCTAGAACCTGCAGTAAGACAGACTTTTGTATTGCATGTAAACTCTGTCTAGAACCTGCAGTAAGACAGACTTTTGTATTGCATGTAAACTCTGTCTAGAACCTGCAGTAATACAGACTTTTGTAGTTGCATGTAAATTCTGTCTAGAACCTGCAGTAAGACAGACATTAATTGTAGCTGTGTGTAAACTCTGTCTAGAACCTTAAGACGGACATTAAAAAATTGACAGAACAAGAAAATTTATGCTGCCTGAGATTTTTCTGTTAAAAATTGTTTACATTTCTCAGCTGTTCCATACAAAATGTTCAACTTGGATACACACAAAATGTTCAACTTGGTTTAACACAAAATGTTCAACTTAGTTTAACACAAAATGTTCAACTTAGTTACACACAAAATGTTCTACTTGACAGACAATAGTTACCTCTCTAATTGTGATATTTTCTATGATGGCACCTAAGGACGGAATGGTTGTGATACGGACAGATCTGCAGATATAAATTACAAAAATCTTTAATCATACTAATTGTAATTATTACTAATTGTAATCATACTAATTGTAATTATTACTAATTGTAATCATACTAATTGTAATTATTACTAATTGTAATCATACTAATTGTAATTATTAGAAAAGTAAAAAACACCTTTGTTTTACATAAAATATTTTTTTAAAATTATTTTTCAATTTCAAAGACTACTACTGTCTGACAATCTATGTAGAAAATAATTATCATTAAAAAAGTTTTAAAAACCCACTTTTTCTGATTGAACTAAAAAGTAGAAAATAAATACTATGCATCACAATAAGGCAAGCGATCACTCTACTATAAGCGATGAAAAACGTGGGGCGCCGAAGTAAAAGTTTTTTATCGGTCATTGTTAATATAAGATGTAAAAGTTATATTACTATTGATTAGATAATACTATTGAGTTTTATTAGGGAGCTTGTAGAGAGTCAACAGTATTAAAAACTAAGAAAATCACTGCGCCCCACGTTTTTGATCGCTTATAGTAGAGTGATCGCTTGCATTATTGTGATGTATAACATTTATTTTCTACTTTTTAGTTCAATCAGAAAACGTGGGTTTTTTTAAACTTTTTTAATGATGATTATTTTCTACTTTTTAGTCTTTGTCTGTTTGTTTGCATTCAAATCTTGCTATCAATTTTATCTTCTCGCATTCACTTTTTTTTTGGGTAGACGAAGACAACTCGTAAAAAACACGTGCCTTTTCCAATCGACGTTTCTTCTGTGTTGCCGTTTCTTTCACAGTTGTTTGTACACAAACACCGCGTGACCACTACTCAGTAAGACAAAAGAGGGAGAGTACCGAACCTTGTTTTCATCAAATTACAATTACTAGGTTATGTCCCTTTTTTGTACAAATACATAGATGCCTAAAATGATCAATAAAAAATTTGGTAATAATAACAATTGAATATTCTATTGTCATCGGAAACAAAGCTTCCCTGAAAATTTCAGCGCGCTAGCTAACTGGGAAGTGCCTGAAATTTCGATCGCAAGATTTGATTGGAGAACCAAACAAACAGACGCGAAAGCAAGTTAAAGAAAACGTGGGAAAATACTCTGTCCCCACCATAGAAGAAAAACCTATTTCCCTGTAACATAGCATGGTCAGGTGTACAATGTGTTGACATAAATTTATTTGAAACCTATTCAGTAATCTAACCATTAAATATTTAGCTTAATGATAATTGCTATAGCCCATTATTGTAACAAAATTAGAGATGTTATTGGATGAATTCAAAAAGTTTCCTCGAGGGCATGGTTTTATGACACTCAGGTAATAGATTTCATCATCGACTAAACACCACTAAATCTAATAACGTCCATCTTGGTGAGGAGAGAGTTGATAAAGTGAGGCTGCTTACATTTCTTGGTCATTGGATAATGTGACTAGAGCTGGGACAACTCTGGATGAGATCAGGGAGTCACTCACACCTTTGATCATCAGCTGAAATACAGTTCAACCAGTCAAAAATCACAAGGTCTATTTATGTCTTGACAAACATGACTACTGATCTAAGTCTTTAGCACTACAATAGAAACATGACTACTGACCTTTAGTACTACAATAGAAACATGACTACTGACCTTTAGCACTACAATAGAAACATGACTACTGACCTCAAACAGGGCAGCTGCTGCTTGTCTGACCTGCGCTGACGAGTGGACAACACCTTCCCATAAGACAGACAACAGCAGCTCATGGTTGGAGGGATTCTCGCTGTCAGAGGACAGAAAAGTTACATCACAACATATGACAGCAGAAACAGTTCAAAAAATATAATAAAGCGGTAGTGATCTCCCCTAAACTTTCTCAAATAATACTTGAACGCCAAACAATCTGTGTATAATAGTGTGGAATATAATTTGTTCTTTATAAATTCATATGCGTTTTTTAAGGAATTGGAAATAGCGTAAAGTACTACTTCCGGTCAACGAAAATTACTCAAAATTTAACAAAAGGCAGAGAATTAGATCTTTTACTAATGTGAAATTTTGTTTATCTAACTGAAACAGTACTCAAGTTATAGGCTTTTGAAAAACCAAAAGTAGAATAAATTCCAATCCCGGTTACAACAAATCACTGAAAAGTAGATACAGAACTAAAAATTTGATATATGAAATTTCATCAACCTAGCGGTAACGGTACTCAAGTTATCGTGTTCACCAACATGCACACACACAGAGATACACACATAGACATACAGACAAAATTGCAAAACTAAGTTTTTCCAACTCAGGGAGATGTAAAATGGCAAATTTTGTGAAAACCTTGCAAATCTTTGATTTTTTTTTACAAAACTTCCTCTATACTTCATATATGCGAAAGTAAAAACACATATTCTGGAGCATTTTCAACTATCAATTAAGTGTATCAAACATAAAAATAAGTTATATTAAGCAGGTGATAAAATAACAACCAAACCTTTCCTACCTCAATTCCACAAGAGTTACTCTCAAACTATCTAAAGATGTCTGACAGAAGGCTAAAGTACACAAAACTCTTTTCAAGAATATACTCAAGCGACTCTTGTCTTCATCCTAAGACAAAACGAAAACCATTCAGTTCAAAAACCTTGCAGGCAAAATTCATTATTCAACACACAAAAAAATTATCCAAGATTTCAAAAAATTGAACCAACAAACTTTGGGTTTTAAAAAAGAATTTTTTTTTAAATAGAAGAGCTATGACAAACAAAATTAGTGTTCAAAGGAGAAATTAAAACAGCAGAGCTAAAACTTGCATAATTTTAAAACCAATATTTTGTAAAATCATCATAGTTTTAAAAAATAAAACTTCCAGTCATATTTTTTAAATATTTCAAATAAAAAAGTAGCCTACAGTGACGAAAGACATGAGGACGCCTGATGCATACACAGGAACAATGCATGTGGTTATTGCCAGCTGGCCTTGTTTAATTTGTGGGTCTGTGGAGCACAGAAAACAGTTACATCACAGAAAACAGTTACATCACAGAAAACAGTTACATCACAGAAAACAGTTACATCACAGAAAACAGTTACATCACAGAAAACAGTTACATCACAGAAAACAGTTACATCACAGAAAACAGTTACATCACAGAAAACAGTTACATCACAGAAAACAGTTACATCACAGAAAACAGTTACATCACAGAAAACAGTTACATCACAGAAAACAGTTACATCACAGAAAACAGTTACATCACAGAAAACAGTTACATCACAGAAAACAGTTACATCACAGAAAACAGTTACATCACAAAAAACAGTTACATCACAGAAAACAGTTACATCACAGAAAACAGTTACATCACAGAAAACAGTTACATCACAGAAAACAGTTACATCACAGAAAACAGTTACATCACAGAAAACAGTTACATCACAGAAAACAGTTACATCACAGAAAACAGTTACATCACAGAAAACAGTTACATCATAGAAAACAGTTACATCACAGAAAACAGTTACATCACAGAAAACAGTTACATCACAGAAAACAGTTAGGCCTACATCACAGAAAACAGTTACATCACAGAAAACAGTTACATCACAGAAAACAGTTACATCACAGAAAACAGTTACATCACAGAAAACAGTTACATCCAGTTCAATCCTTATACTACTTACAGTTTACTGAGAATGTCTTTACCTAATTCATCCTCTGTAACAATTTATTCTACTACTTACAGCATACAGAAAATGTCTTTACCTAATTCAGCCTCTGTATCAAATTATTTAACAAGTTACAGCGTACAGAAAATGTCTTTACCTAATTCAGCCTCTGTATCAAATTATTTAACTACTTACAGCGTACAGAAAATGTCTTTACCTAATTCATCCTCTGTAACAAATTATTCTACTACTTACAGCGTACAGAAAATGTCTTTACCTAATTCATCCTCTGTAACAAACTATTCTACTACTTACAGCATACAGAAAATGTCTTTACCTAATTCATCCTCTGTAACTGTGACCAGTTCTTCAAACTTTAATTTCACCTGATAAACAAATGATGGCAACATTTTATTTATTAGACAGTGATAGTTGAGCTGTACTTAAGACAGGATAGTTTTGTTGTCTTTTACTTCCCACATGAACTACTTAAGACAGGATAGTTTTGTTGTCTTTTACTTCCCACATGAACTATCTGCTTAAGACAGGATAGTTTTGTTGTCTTTTACTTCCCACATGAACTATCTGCTTAAGACAGGATAGTTTTGTTGTCTTTTACTTCCCACATGAACTATCTGCTTAAGACAGGATAGTTTTGTTGTCTTTTACTTCCCACATGAACTATCTGCTTAAGACAGGATAGTTTTGTTGTCTTTTACTTCCCACATGAACTATCTGCTTAAGACAGGATAGTTTTGTTGTCTTTTACTTCCCACATGAACTATCTGCTTAAGACAGGATAGTTTTGTTGTCTTTTACTTCCCACATGAACTATCTGCTTAAGACAGGATAGTTTTGTTGTCTTTTACTTCCCACATGAACTATCTGTTTAAGACAGGATAGTTTTGTTGTCTTTTACTTCCCACATGTACTATCTGTTTAAGACAGGATAGTTTTGTTGTCTTTTACTTCCCACATGTACTATCTGTTTAAGACAGGATAGTTTTGTTGTCTTTTACTTCCCACATGTACTATCTGTTTAAGACAGGATAGTTTTGTTGTCTTTTACTTCCCACATGAACTATCTGTTTAAGACAGGATAGTTTTGTTGTCTTTTACTTCCCACATGTACTATCTGTTTAAGACAGGATAGTTTTGTTGTCTTTTACTTCCCACATGTACTATCTGTTTAAGACAGGATAGTTTTGTTGTCTTTTACTTCCCACATGTACTATCTGTTTAAGACAGGATAGTTTTGTTGTCTTTTACTTCCCACATGAACTATCTGCTTAAGACAGGATAGTTTTGTTGTCTTTTACTTCCCACATGAACTATCTGCTTAAGACAGGATAGTTTTGTTGCCTTTTACTTCCCACATGTACTATCTGTTTAAGACAGGATAGTTTTGTTGTCTTTTACTTCCCACATGTACTATCTGCTTAAGACAGGATAGTTTTGTTGCCTTTTACTTCCCACATGTACTATCTGTTTAAGACAGGATAGTTTTGTTGTCTTTTACTTCCCACATGAACTATCTGCTTAAGACAGGATAGTTTTGTTGCCTTTTACTTCCCACATGTACTATCTGTTTAAGACAGGATAGTTTTGTTGTCTTTTACTTCCCACATGAACTATCTGCTTAAGACAGGATAGTTTTGTTGCCTTTTACTTCCCACATGTACTATCTGTTTAAGACAGGATAGTTTTGTTGTCTTTTACTTCCCACATGAACTATCTGTTTAAGACAGGATAGTTTTGTTGTCTTTTACTTCCCACACGAACTATCTGCTTAAGACAGGATAGTTTTGTTGCCTTACTTTTACTTCCCACATGTACTATCTGCTGAGCCATTGATAAGATGACTAGTACCATTAACACATGTATGTTTGAGATTGACATATTCAAGCAGAGGAAAGAAGAAAAGACAAATCATTGATGACTTTGTTTACATGGGAGCAGGACATAAGGCCCTAACCATATTCTGATACAGAGGGCTGAAAGTTAGGCGAGGGAAATATTCTGGACTCTATCATTAAGTCTAAGCATCTTGGTATTCTCTAGAATGCCTAGGCTCAGGATGAAATCTGATTAGTTTTGTAATCAGAGAAGTCACCATGTATACCAGACATCCCCTAGAGGGAGGTGACTCACTGGGTAAAATTGACAGGAGGTAACTGCCAGGGACAAATGTCCTGACCTCACAGCACCTGTCCAAGCTACACTTACCTTTTTCTCTGTAAAGGTGCGACCAAACGTTCGACATAATCGAAAGGTGAATTGGCAAAGGGCATGTACCACTTTCTGCATGGCTAGTCCTATACTCATCACAACCTCAAGTAGCCGGGGTAGCCTAGTGGACACAAACATGACATTTAATGGTCAGCAGTCTAGTGGACACAAACATGACATTTAATGGCCAGCAGTCTAGTGGACACAAACATGACATTTAATGGTCAGCAGTCAAGTGGACACAAACATGACATTTAATGGTCAGCAGTCTAGTGGACACAAACATGACATTTAATGGTCAGCAGTCTAGTGGACACAAACATGACATTCAAAAGTCACACCCAATCAAGACTGACATACAAGACTGAGACACAGGGCAGCTGGACTTACATGTTATTTACAATCCAATTCATTTCCTCCCAAGGTTCAAACCACTCCTGACCAATGTGGCCTTCAAACTTAGTCACCAACTGGACCAGAGCCCTCTCTCCGCCAGACATCACTATAAGGTCACTTAGTGGACAGCTGGACCCAGGGAACCTAGTCACTATAGAACCAAAGGTCAAAATATCATTTTCTCAGGTCACTTAGTGGACAGCTGGACCCAGGGAACCTAGTCACTATAGAACCAAAGGTCAAAATATCATTTTCTCAGGTCAATTAGTGGACAGCTGGACCCAGGGAACCTAGTCACTATAGAACCAAAGGTCAAAATATCATTTTCTCAGGTCACTTAGTGGACAGCTGGACCCAGGGAACCTAGTCACTATAGAACCAAAGGTCAAAATATCATTTTCTCAGGTCAATTAGTGGAGAACCAGCCCTTATCCCAGAGTAAGAAAAAACACAAAATACAGGGTCAAATAAGTGTTTTACACTTCAAGATAATAATTGTTTCAACCTTAGGTCTTCATTGAAATTTGCACCCAGACAAATTTGGAAGCTGATTCAAAAAGGAGATTTGATATTACTTTTAGTATAGCTCATCTGATTAAAGAACATTGGTTCATGTAAAATAACATTTGTTTTTTTTTGTTCAAAATGCTTCGTTAAGTCTTTGTTAGGTGGTCACTTGAACTACTAAAAGCTGTTGCCTTGGTAATGATGGCTGCCAGAAAAGACCAAACCACCTTTTTATTTTTTACAAAGTTGAGTGATCATTTCAAAACTATATATTGTAATTAGTTTTATCAAGCAAAATCTACAATACTGATTAGATTATAACAATGAATGATTTGAGTTGCAATGCACTTTCCATGTGTGGTATATTTGTTCACTTTGCTGAGTACAACAAGGTAGCAGAAGATAATTTAAGAACTAAGGTTTCATCGCATACAAATCATTTATTGACATTCTCAAAACTTACAGAGAGAGAAAATATTAAATACCCTGCCCTAATCAAGTAATTTTAATTCTAAAACATATATCTGACTCAGAAAAGAAATGTAATAAAACTAATAACTTGATCATAACAATAGTCAACATTAAGCCAGATGTAAATTTGAATGAGAAGAACTCTAGCAGACATCACATTTGTGATGAATGATCTATCACATCACAACAACACAACTTAAAAACTAACCCACCGTATCAGTCACAGCCATTTCAAAACAAAAGGGTTTTTTCTAAAAATAAGTTTCTAGGCTTATCATTTATTTTTTATTATCAAAAATTGGTATCAAATGCAATTTATAATTGTTTAAGTCGTCTTAAACAATAATGAAGTTTAAAACCTTAAGCGACAGTCTTTGTACTCCAAATGTATTTACTATTTATTCAAATTAAACTGTGATTTGCTTGAACATTTTCCATTGCAGTTTCAAAAATAAGATAACCAATCAGACCACATACAAAAGAAAAGATGTGAATAAAAACTTACATTCCACATGAACCTCATCCGTGTAGTTTTTAGAGGTGGGGCAGGTCTCAACCACAGTCAGGTACAACAAGGGAATCAACTCCTCCAGTGTGTTGAGCAGCAAGAGAAACTTACTCTCATTGAGAGGCAGCGAGGTTGAACTATTGACCTTCTGTGCTGCCACAGCTCCCTAGACACAACAAACCTGGTCTCACTATAAAATAACTTATAGTACAACTATTTTAGACACATCAACAAACCTGGTCTCAATATACTGGAAGACTGGCACCAACAATTCAAATAACTTATAGTGCAACTATTTTAAAGGAAAATGTTTCAACTTGTCAATAATGGATAATTCAGACATAAAAACTTTTTTTACTGGAACTTGTAAGACTAGTTTAATACATTTAGTTGAAGTTTGAACTTATAAGACTAGTCTAATACATTTAGTTGGAGTTGGAACTTGTAAGACTAGTCTAATACATTTAGTGGAAGTAGTATCATAAAAAAATTATCTCAAGTTGTGGACACTGCTAATGAATAATTGATATATTAAAAGCTACAAGGTTTTTCCTTCAATCAAACATAATAAGAAATTTCAAGCTAATGGTAAACAGCAAAGCACATTATCAGGTGCTGTTAGGGAACTATAAAAAAAAGCAGGTAGAGACATTGCTACATATAGAAGGTCAAGTAGAGTTCACTGAAAGAGACACTTCTAAACAAAGGAAAAATATTTCCCACTTGAAAAAAGTGTTTAAGAGGGTGGGGAGGGAGGAAGAGGGCGGAAAGGCATTAAGGCAGTGGGAATTATTGAAGCAAAGCTGTTAAACAAATCTGGTTCGTAATTAACATAATGTGAAAACACAGAAAGCTTCTGCATACATGAATGATTGTAAAAAAAATGTACAGCTTCCAGAAATGGTGGCACTTATTGTGATACACCCACAAACTTGTGAGATACTAAAGTAGTCAGCTGAATTAGGCACAAGTTCATCTTATCATTCACTTCTTGTGATACACCCACTAACTTGTGAGATACTAAAGTAGTCAGCTGAATTAGGCACAAGTTCATCTTATCATTCACTTCTTGTGATACACCCACTAACTTGTGAGATACTAAAGTAGTCAGCTGAATTAGGCACAAGTTCATCTTATCATTCACTTCTTGTGATACACCCACTAACTTGTGAGATACTAAAGTAGTCAGCTGAATTAGGCACAAGTTCATCTTATCATTCACTTCTTGTGATACACCCACTAACTTGTGAGATACTAAAGTAGTCAGCTGAATTAGGCACAAGTTCATCTTATCATTCACTTCTTGTGATACACCCACTAACTTGTGAGATACTAAAGTAGTCAGCTGAATTAGGCACAAGTTCATCTTATCATTCACTTCTTGTGATACACCCACTAACTTGTGAGATACTAAAGTAGTCAGCTGAATTAGGCACAAGTTCATCTTATCATTCACTTCTTGTGATACACCCACTAACTTGTGAGATACTAAAGTAGTCAGCTGAATTAGGCACAAGTTCATCTTATCATTCACTTCTTGTGATACACCCACTAACTTGTGAGATACTAAAGTAGTCAGCTGAATTAGGCACAAGTTCATCTTATCATTCACTTCTTGTGATACACCCACTAACTTGTGAGATACTAAAGTAGTCAGCTGAATTAGGCACAAGTTCATCTTATCATTCACTTCTTGTGATACACCCACTAACTTGTGAGATACTAAAGTAGTCAGCTGAATTAGGCACAAGTTCATCTTATCATTCACTTCTTGTGATACACCCACTAACTTGTGAGATACTAAAGTAGTCAGCTGAATTAGGCACAAGTTCATCTTATCATTCACTTCTTGTGATACACCCACTAACTTGTGAGATACTAAAGTAGTCAGCTGAATTAGGCACAAGTTCATCTTATCATTCAACTGCATTAGGAAGATGTTATTGAATATATTTTGCACAATGAGATAACTTAAAGCATAAAGCCTGCTAAAACAAATTAAATTTTCTTCATCAAATATCATTTTCAGAAACAAACAGAAAATCTCTGATTAAAAAAAAAAGTATAATTTACCTGTACAATAACTGATTAAATATGTCAATCCCTTTACCAGTTTGTAATGGTCTCATGAGATTTTTTAAATTTAATTACATAATGAAAAATAGTTACTAATGATATAATAGATGAAGAAATATTTCAGAAAAATCTTGTTTTCTAGGTTACGGCCTAGACTTATTATGTACACTTTAGATGTTACTTTGTTACATGAGTCCCCTGTGCTGCTAAATTAAGATGTCACTTTGTTACTTAAGTTCCTGAGGTGCTATATTTAGATCTTACTTTGTTACTTAAGTCCCCTGAGCTGCTATATTTAGATCTTACTTTGTTACTTAAATCCCCTGAGCTGCTATATTAAGATGTCACTTTGTTACTTAAGTCCCCTATGTTGCTATATTAAGATGTCACTTTGTTACTTTGTTACTTAAGTCCCCTGGCTGCTATATTTATATGTTACTTTGTTACTTAAGTCCCTGAGCTGCTATATTTAGATCTTACTTTGTTACTTAAGTCCCCTGAGCTGCTATATTTAGATGTTACTTGAGTCCCCTGAGTCTTACAAACTGGTCAGGTTTGAGAGCAGCTTGTATGGGCATACACCATCCACCAAATAACTTGCAAAGGATAAATTGTTCAGGCACATCCAGTGTTTGTCCAAACAAATGGTTCAGATAAGAGCTAACAAGGACTCCCCAGCACAAAATATTACATATATATATTTCAGAGATTTTGTAACTATCTTGGTTTTAAATTTGTAATTAAGATCATCTGAATTAATTTTCTTGTGTAAATATCCTATAGACTGATGCTTATCAAATTAATGAAACAGCCTTTACACTGGAGCTCGAATAAAATTAAGTAAATAAGCTAAGTACTTGACATATAAGAGTGTAGTTAGGTTGTTTAGGAACATAATAAAATTGTGCCAATATCCACCCTATCCACTGGAGGTTCCTGAACATTGTGATAAAGCTGTGAGGTATACAAAGGTGCCCAGTGGGCTAGTATGGAGTTGCCTTAACTGTGTCCTCCAGGTGTTTGAGCAGGTTGTGGATGAGGTGATGCTCTAGACGCCCCAGCTCCCTGGACCACATGCCCAAGGCTGGCAAGAAGACATGTAACGCTGCCCTGTGGACCTTCTCTTTTGAGTCTTTCAGTGCCGTCATTAGCAGCTCATAGCCCTGTCAGATACAAACCACACTGTCAAAAAAACCTGTCAGATTCAAATCACACTGTCAATAACATCTGTACACACTTGTACAAGTCTGTATGTGCTTGTACAAGCCTACATAAAACTATGTACCTGTACAAAACTGTGTACAAACCTGCATGTATTTGTCAGCATCACAAATAAAGCCCATGAGAAGCCCAAGGCTTTTGACCACAGCCTCTCTGACCTCCTCATCTCTGTCGTCCATCATCATCTGCTGCAGCATTGACAGGACCAGGGAGCTGCGGATCTCAGCCTGTCGATACAGACAGTTGCAGTCACTACATGACATGCAGGAACTACATGACATACAGGAACTACATGACATACAGGAGCTACATGACATACAGGAGCTACATGACATGCAGGAACTACATGACATACAGGAACTACATGACATGCAGGAACTACATGACATACAGGAACTACATGACATACAGGAACTACATGACATACAGGAACTACATGACATGCAGGAACTACATGACATACAGGAACTACATGACATACAGGAGCTACATGACATGCAGGAACTACATGACATACAGGAACTACATGACATACAGGAACTACATGACATACAGGAACTACATGACATGCAGGAACTACATGACATACAGGAACTACATGACATACAGGAACTACATGACATGCAGGAACTACATGACATACAGGAGCTACATGACACACAGGAACTACACGACAATCAGGAACCATTAGGATTACTTAAAAGTAGGTGAGATTACTTACAGGTAGGTGAGATTACTTACGGGTAGGAGAGATTATTTACAAGCAGGTGAGATTACTTACAGGTAGGTGAGATTATTTACAAGCAGGTGAGATTACTTACAGGTAGGTGAGATTATTTACAGGTAGGTGAGATTACTTACTGGTAGGAGAGATTTCTTACAGGTAGGAGAGATTACATCAGGCAGGTGAGATTACTTACTGGTAGGTGAGATTACATCAGACAGGTGAGATTACTTACAAGCAGTTGAGATTACTTACAGGTAGGTGAGATTACTTACAGGTAGGTGAGATTACTTACAGGTAGGTGAGATTACATCAGACAGGTGAGATTACTTACAAGCAGTTGAGATTACTTACAGGTAGGTGAGATTACTTACAGGTAGGTGAGATTACATCAGGTAGGTGAGATTACTTACAGGTAGGTGAGATTACATCAGGCAGGTGAGATTACTTACAGGTAGCTGAGACTACTTACAAGCAGGTGATATTACATCAGGTAGGTGAGATTACATCTGGTAGGTGAGATTACTTACAGGTAGGTGAGATTACATCAGGCAGGTGAGATTACTTACAGGTAGGTGAGATTACTTACAGGTAGGTGAGATTACTTACTGGTAGGTAAGACGCTAGAGCACCACAAGCTTCTGCCACCAAAAGACGCCTTTCAACAAACTTGTGACCTATCTGAAAGAATACGCAAGGTAGAATGTAATCAATCCTGAAGTCTCACTAACTACTTAAAGAACATTATCAGTTACTAAAATAAGATACATGTATTAGCTGGAGTCAAACCCCCACCCCAATTACATCCATTATCACCCCCTCCCCCAGATCAGTTTCACCTCATAGTAACTACCCTCCCTCTCCTAAAAGATTAGCTACTTAACCTGTTCTATGAAACCCCACATAGAATGCCTGAAATAGGCAGAGGATGAAATCTATCAGTTTCATGCTTTAGTGAGACATTCTAAAACATACCTCTAATCCTAACACTATCAAATACTTAATCCTAATTCACCTTAGTGTTAGGATTAAGGTAAATTTTGGGCAGTAGGTATTTGTCAGGAGGGGAGGGGTGTGTGCTGCTCCCATTACCTGCTCCCAACATTGAGGTAGAAGTTCCTCCACCAGTCTATCTGCCCCAGCATGCTCAGCAAAAACAACACAGCCTGTCAGGATCATTTGCCTGGGATGGTAAGGAAATACAAAGTCAACACATCTCAAGTTTGAAATGGCTTTCTACTGATGTTGTTTATTTTTCCTACTCATGTTGTTTATGCTTTCTATTATACTGCTTACTGATGTGGTTTATACTTTCTACGAGCCGACCCGCGGCGTATCATACGCCGCTATTTAGTTGATTTATTTTCTACTTTTCAGTAATTCATAATTTGTGAATTCGACAGTACCAATGCTGCCACTGAAAATATTTGCTTTAAAACACTAACCCCCCTCCTTTCCCCTAACCCCGACCCTACACCCCCCCCCCCCCCCCCGTGAAAGCAGCCTCCTCTTAGTTACCTCCTGTAAGTTTAAAGTCGGTTCAAACTAAATTATCTGCCCCTAATAGCCGTCACTAAACCTGGCTGTACGGTTTGTAAACATTAACGTGACCACAGCTCAGCAGACCATGTGGGGGTGGGGTATGGTGGTAGTGATAGTGATAGAGAGAAAGAGAGGGGACTGTAAGGAGGCGCTTGCAGCTTGTTTTCTAATGGCTCGCAGAGGAGAATTATATATATAGATTATACTTCCTACTGATGTTTATACTTCCTACTGAAGTTGTTTATACTTCCTACTAATGTTGTTTATACTTTCTACTCATGTTTATACTTTCTACTGATATTTATACTTCCTACTGATGTTGTTTATACTTCCTACTGATGTTTATTCTTTCTACTGATGTTGTTTATACTTTCTACTGATGTTGTTTATACTTCCTACTGAAGTTTATACTTTCTACTGATGTTTATACTTCCTACTGATGTTGTTTATACTTTCTACTGATGTTGTTTATACTTTCTACTGATGTTGTTTATACTTTCTACTGATGTTTATACTTTCTACTGATGTTGTTTATACTTCCTACTGATGTTGTTTATACTTCCTACTGATGTTGTTTATACTTCCTACTGATGTTGTTTATACTTTCTACTGATGTTGTTTATACTTTCTACTGATGTTGTTTATACTTCCTACTGATGTTGTTTATACTTCCTACTGATGTTGTTTATACTTCCTACTGATGTTGTTTATACTTCCTACTGATGTTGTTTATACTTCCTACTGATGTTTATACTTCCTACTGATGTTGTTTATACTTTCTACTGATGTTGTTTATACTTTCTACTGATGTTGTTTATACTTTCTACTGATGTTATTTTTCTTTTGTCCAAACAAAAATAAATGAAATAATATAACAAATATTGACAAGAAACATTTTGGCGAGCAAGCAGAAATGCTAGGAAAAAGGTTACCTTTGTTCATCATCAGGCTTCTTGATCAGGTTAAACAAGATATTCAGCAACTGATCTCTCTGCTTTGGTTGAGGGTGAAGGATAGCCGTGCACAAGATGACCGGTATCAGCTCCTAAACCAATAAACATGACACATATAGCCAAAGTGGACCTAACATTTGAAGGATAGCCGTGCACAAGATGACACATATAATGATATAACCACAGAGGACACAACAACTGAAGGATAACTGTACACAAGACGACACATATAACCACAGTGGACATAACAATTGAAGGACAGACGTACACAAGATGACATATAACCACAGAGGACACAACAATTGAAGGATAACTGTGCACAACATGACACATATAACTACAGAGGACATAACAATTGAAGGATAACTGTGCACAAGATGACACATATAACCACAGAGGACACAATAATTGAAGGGTAACTGTGCACAAGATGACACATATAACCACAGTGGACATAACAATTGAAGGATAGCCGTACACAACATGACACATATAACCACAGAGGACACAACAATTGAAGGATAGCCGTACACAACATGACACATATAACCACAGAGGACACAACAATTGAAGGATAGCCGTACACAACATGACACATATAACCACAGAGGACACAACAATTGAAGGATAGCCGTACACAACATGACACATATAACCACAGAGGACACAACAACTGAAGGATAACTGTGCACAACATCACACATATAACCACAGTGGACATAACAATTGAAGGATAACTGTGCACAACATCACACATATAACCACAGTGGACATAACAATTGAAGGATAACTGTGCACAAGATGACACATATAACCACAGTGGACACAACAACTGAAGGATAACTGTGCACAAGATGACACATATAACCACAGAGGACATAACAATTGAAGGATAGCCGTACACAAGATGACACATATATCCACAGTGGACACAACAATTGTGTATCTAACACCAAGAACAACAACTGACCTCTCTCTTGGCAAGAAGGACATTAGGAACTATGTGAGGTAGGCATCTTCCCAACATTTTCACAACTCCATGCACATCAGAGTGGTTAATTTTTGACATCTGTCAAAATCAACAACTCAAGGGATCAAATTTTTCATATCACAAGACAACATACAGACAGATTTTCCAAATCCCAAGACAAAATGCAGACAGATTTCTCAAATCACAAGACAACATGCAGACAGATTTCTCACCTCAGAAACGATACGGTTGTCTAGGGAAACATGGAATGCAACGTCCAGAAGGGCTTTACGGAATGATGCAGTCATTTTCCTAGTCAAATAGTTGAACATTTATGAGTTTATTAACTTTTACTTATTTATTATATGTATTATGTACAAAAGCTAAAAGTAATGAATAGTTGATAGAAATCAGCACATAAAAAAGCTAAGCTTCTCGTAAGTGTGGTTGTTTGCATACCTGTTTCCTAATTGGCTGGAGTGGTCATCTGTTCGCTCACTCTGGTCGTGATTTGTGACAGGTTCTGCAAGACTTGCTGCCACTTGTCTTTTATCTGCCTCCTCCTGCCCCTCCCCCTCCTCTCTCTCCCCTATAACGCTAGAGGTTGAGTCCACTGTATCCCCCACTCTACTGTGTGCATGTGGCCCCACACTGTCAAGTCTATCAGATCTATGCCCATCTTGGCTGCTCCCATTGACCAGACTATGGTTACACTTGTCACTGACATGTGGGCTTGTCTGTGTGGCAGATCCTTCAGGGGTGGCCCAACTTTGATGGGGGGGAGATTCCAGGGGTTTACCTCTGTCAAATAATTTATACTAAGGACATTTTTTCAAATAATGGGTTTCTCTTTTAAGTAAGATGTGTTAAAACATGTGTGTACTAGTTTTGTCAGTTTACACAAGAAACAAATGGACCCCATCTCTTCTACACATGCTGAGTCTTTAATTCCTTTAAGGTTTTCATTGAATAAACATGGATGAAGAAGCTATGAGGTACAGCTTCTAGAAATGTTACTAATACAATAGTGTACATGTTGAGACAGCTTGGTATTTGACCTAGGGTCACATTAGCATGGCTAGGCCCGCTGTTGACACGCTGACCCGAAAAGGCCACAATTTGAGCAGACGCTAACAGGAAAAAGTTGTTGGTCTGCGACAGGAAGATAGGGTCAACCAGGGGGGAAATGAGATAATAGTTCTAGGTAATATAATCTAGATGTCAGTGTAAAATAGTTACATTTTGAGAATGTCAACTTGCTGGGCTAAGATCTCATTCTCCTGTGCCGACAACTTCAGCTGTTTATCTAATGTTGCTATCTGTGATTCCTGCACAACACAAGACAGTCAATATTAAAGGTGGGCTCCTAAATTACTTGTCAAAAGGTATGGTCACTCTAAGATAGAAGGTATGGTCACTCTAAGATAGAAGGTATGGTCACTCTAAGATAGAAGGTATGGTCACTCTAAGATAGAAGGTATGGTCACTCTAAGATAGAAGGTATGGTCACTCTAAGATAGAAGGTATGGTCACTCTAAGATAGAAGGTATGGTCACTCTAAGATAGAAGGTATGGTCACTCTAAGATAGAAGGTATGGTCACTCTAAGATAGAAGGTATGGTCACTCTAAGATAGAAGGTATGGTCACTCTAAGATAGAAGGTATGGTCACTCTAAGATAGAAGGTATGGTCACTCTAAGATAGAAGGTATGGTCACTCTAAGTAGCCAGACAAAATGGTAAACAGTTTCTCAAACCATACCAATGTTAGATTTGACAAGCAGACATATCAATACACAAAACATATTTTAACCTTACAATTATCCTACAAATCTAGGCATGGAAAAGCTTACTAATTAAGCAAAAAAAAAAAAAAAATTCCATCAATTTTATTATGGTTGATTTCAACACTGACAGAAGACAAGAAGACTGACCAAGCTTTGAGTTCTCTCCCTCCAATCAGCTTCAAGTTGGCTGAGGTGCTCACTCTCAATGTCCACGCTGATTCCAACATCGGATGTTTCTTTGCTTGGAGCAACATGACTACTATAATCTTTAAACAAATGTACCAGACCAGGAGGTCTTGGAATGTTAATGCCTACATCATCCCAATCTTCAAAATCCTGCATGCAAAAAGAATGCCAGCTCTATTTTCATTACAAAGACAAAAACAAGATAAACAATATTTTCAAAAGCAAACCAACCTGTTCTTCATTCTCCTCTGCAAAGGTTACTGAAGTTACTTTGTAATCTGCCTGTAACAGATATTCATTGACTAAAAAGTTAAGAGCTTTTTTCTCAACTGGTGTAATAACATCACTAGTCTCTCCACTTGGACCCCCTTTGTATTGACTTTCTGGAGATGATAACTCTGTTTCTGGTAGAAGAAAATATAATTTTGAAGTTAAAAGTTAATTCCAGTCTGAGTCTACAATTAAGTCTTATCATCAAATTATTGTTTTACATAGACAAATAAAAACAATGGCTCAAAACATTCAAGGATGAGCAAACTGTGTGTTAACCTGCTTGTTGAGTGAGACTGGCTCTCAGTGATTTGATTGTTTCCTGAGCTTTCCGCAGCTCAAATTCAAGCACTGCAACAGAAGAGTACAATTTTTTAAATTCTCTTATCAGACAAATCACAAGTTTCTGTCTCAACAGAACTTAGTGAAACAAACCAAAACAAGCCTAATAGGATCTTCTACTTGCCTGCCACCCTCTCGTCCACTTGTCTTTCTCCATCATCAGAATAACGGGCAAAGTCAAGAGAATCAAATGTTTGAACACTGGAAGTTCGAGCTGTACAAAACAGGAAAACAAGACAATATTCTGAACTAGGAACACATGATCAGCCAATTTTATCTTAAATCACACAACAATTGTCCCCACTAGTAAACTATAACCTACAAGAGACCTAAATATAATATAATAGTTACTTTAAGGTTTTATGGATAAGAAAAGCGGATAAGAAAAAAACGTTTTATAATTTATTGGGTGTGCAGTTTTAAAAAGATCAACCAAAATGTAATTCATCCCTGTAACGAACACTAACACTTAACACTACTTAACAGTAACTACTAACAACTGCTAAAAACCAAAAGGACAAAATAATAATATTAAATATTAATAATAGGCAAAATGAAAAATACCCTTTGTTTTGTTCAAAAAGAGAAATATTAGCTCCCAAATGAGGCAACTTGTTCGCACATTACGAGCCTCGGACGATTTTACGTACATAAAACGATAGATTACCAATTTAAATTATTATACTTACGCAAAGTTGGCGAAGGCAAATCTTCTTTTGTTCTCTCAAAATTTCCAGGGTTTGAAAAGTAGTCTCGGAGCCTTGGAAGTTCTCTTCCTGATTCAATGAATTCCGTATAAAGTTCTAAGGCGGTTAAAATGTAATTATCTCTTAGTAGCTTTGCTGCAACACTGTCCCATGATATGTCTATGTTTTCTGCGCGCTGTATGTGAACAGGGCGTGATGAAAAATCAGCAACAAAATCGTTATCCTCTTCCATATCAACATCGGGAACAGCTGAATCGATAAAAGGATTCAGACTGTCCGCCATTTTGTACCTTTTTTGTCACGTGAACAAACGTTTCTATTAACAGTCACCGTTGCAATGTTGATACCTGTTGTATAGAAGTGTAGTATCGAATTCATACTTTATTAATTATTTTCCATATATTTATTAAAATATATATTTTAAAAATAAAATTCACTTTATATTCGTAAATTTTCATAGCCATAACAATTGAAATTCACAAAGTTTTGCCAAATATATATCTATAACTTAACTGCATTTCAATCATATGAATAATATGATTAGGCCTAATTGATATAATTAATTAGTTATACCTATGGTCAATCTTCTATTGTATAGGATTCACGCTTGTTAATAAAAATAATAAACTTTATTTGATTACAACATTAAACTTTTTTTACAAATTTTAACTTAAAAGATGGTTTTCAAATGCAAAAGATAGATCTATATACATCTGTTTGAAAGCGCTAAACTGGGGGCGCGGTGTAGGCCTACTTCTAAATAACTAAATCTAACCGGGCTGACGCCCCTGCTGTAGTAGCACTTAGGCGGTGTTTTATCGCTCCCGTGGGGAGGGGGTTGCTGATTAATACAGACTCAAGGTTCCCACACAAATAAATCGAGTGACAGTCAACCTAAAATTATAGATTTGGTGTCCAAGCCGGGGAATATCACTAATATCAGCTGATAGCGCAAACTGATACCCCGTTGTTATATTTGGACGACGTACGCCTCACACAAAATTGGAGTTTATACCCAGTCTTACATAGTAAATATTTCACAAACGTTAAGATTATGCGTTCTTTTGTAGTTAAATACTCATATTGAATTAAATTCCTTCTTCTTAGATCGCAATAACTCGCGACGGGTTGGCAGACATTTATATATTTTTTTATATAACAATATATACTATATAGACAAAGAATAGCCTACTGCTCTTTCACCGTGGCACGCCCAGGTTTTACAGTATCGAACAATTTGCTGGTGATGACGATGTTATTCTGGGTCGAGGCAGTGCAAGAGATTTTCTGGTTTAATCAATATTTTTTTTTTTTTTGCAACAAGTCATTATAACATTGTGTCTACGTCTAATCTGTTAGACGATATTGGTATTCATTTTTCTTGGTGTCAGGAATCTTTCTCCATGTTTTATTAAATAAGCTGTGTTGAGCATTATAAGCTGTAATTCGAATTCGTATATTATTGGACTAACATGACCCAGACCATTAAGGAAATAAATCTACCATGTTTTGTCATATAAAAAGGTATGAGAAGAGCATTGTTGCATTTTGTTTTTATTACTTATGTTAAAATGTTTTGTATCGACCTGAGGTAGTTGGAGCAAACGCATTAGCATTGCATATAATTGATATACTCTATAGCCAATGAAATATACATTAGTCACTAGTGTACACAGTTTTAATCAAATTTACTGTTTCACAAACTGTCACGCTACCCAGAGACCTCGCAAGGCGGAGGCGGGGGGGGGGGGTGCGGACCGCACCGGGTGACACCATTTAGGGTAGGGGGTGACACCAAGACAAAAAATTAGCAAAATATAGGACCATAGAACGAGCTGACCCGCGGTGTAACATACGCCGCTGTTTAGTTGTTTTATTTCCTATTTTTCATGTTTTGTAAATAACTGTTACGTAAGAAAAGCGTCCGGGTCCCTTCCTAAACATTAGTACTAAAAGTATCCAATAGATAATTTTTTAAAAAATATGCCATGGGGTCATCCATAAATGACGTCACGCTTTTGTTGATAATTTTTACCTCCCCTCCCCTCCGTCACACGTCGTCACAAAAAGCCAGACCCCCTCCCCTAAAATGACGTCACACCTCAGCCCCCCCCCCCCCCCTAAAAATTGCTGTTGAAGTTTTCTTAAAACATCGATATTTTCCCAACATCTTGTCTGAACTCTGTTAACAAAGAGTATTTTGATCAATTCTTATTACAATTTATTATAACCGTTTTCTAAAACGCGAAATATTGGCTAAAATTAGTTATCTAACATTTGCTATCTAACATAATGCAAAAAAAGTGACGTCACACCATCTGAACCCCCCCCCCCCCCCCCCTCATCGCACACCGTCACAAAATTACGGACCTCCCTTCCCCCTACGAGTGTGACGTCATTTATGGACGACCCCTATACTATTATTTATAGTGACCCGCGCTTTTCTTTATAAGTCTGGTTATTTATTAATTTAAATAGTAGTAGTAGTGTATTATATATTTAAAGAAATTTTCTACTTTTTAGTGCATTGTTATTTTTTTTTTTTAATATGATTTTTTTTTTTATTTTAATTTTAGTGACTCGCATTGCTCCGAAGTTTGACACTAGACGTCTAGAATCTAGATCTAGACTATTTACTTCCGTATTTTACTATTTTACTATTATTAGACTAACTCGAGTCTAGATCTAGTTCTAGATCTAGATCTAGATTCTAGATCTATTAATTTTATTGTATTTTCTGTTAGATTTAGAATCTAGATTCTAGAAATTCTAGATCTATATCTAAGTAAGTAGATCTAATAATAGTTTATTAGTAGGCTAATATGATTATCAAAGTATTAAGTAAAAAAAGTAGGGCCTAGATCTATATTTTTTATTTATTAATATTATTTTGGGAGATTTTATTTACTACTAGACACTAGATTTTAGATCTAGTTGACTAGATCTAGACTAGATGTCTAGATTCTAGGTCTAGATCTATTATATTTTGATCTAGATTCTACTCTAGAGCTAGATTTCTAGATCTAGTACTAAGTATAGTTTAAAAATATAAAATAAGGATGATTATAGATACCGGTGTCCGATAATGGAATCTTCTTTTAAAAAGGGGTGTTATGTTGTTAGTAGTAGTATTGCAATCTTGACTAATTTATGGTTAGAAATTTGAAATTAGGGTTAGTCGTATATGGGTGGACCAGGGTTGAGGTTAGGGTTAGGGACAGGGTTAGCATTGACATTAGCCAGCCATGAGTGTATTTAGTTAACTACCAGTAACCTAACACCCCTTTTTTAAAGAAGATTCCATTATCGGACACTGGTGTAAACATTCTCCCAGTTTATAGTTATTAAATACTTTTTTTATAGTAGTGTAGTGTTAAGTGTAGTGATGTAGCGACACTCTAGACTAGTCTGTGTAGGTAAGAGAAGAGTGATATTTTAATTTTAGTTAGTTAGCCTCAACCTGTTGCACTGTTAATGTTAGAAATGTTACTGTTAGGCCTTTTCAAGTCTTTAACTTTAAGACTAGTTTAGCTTTGATCTTTCCTTCAACTCTTTTTCATTGATCTTCTCCAATGTTTTTTGTCTGCCTTGTGGTGTCCATCTGAGAGCAGTCCTGGCCCATTCATTCTCTAAGCACATGACCCAACCAACTCCATCTTCTGTGTTTGATTACTACTGCTTGTCAGTGGTGTAGGAAGGTCGGGTGTCAACCCCACCCCCCCCCCCCCACCCCGAGAAAAAAATATATATGTAATATGTGTATATATATATATTAATATATATATATATATATATATATATTAGCAGTTGGTACCCGTTACAGGTGAATTATAGGCCTATAGGTATTTTAATGTTACACTTGTTTGAGAAAAATATTGTATATAGATCTAGATCTAATAGTTATTGGTCAAAATGCAATGTTCTTTACTACACGTCAAACGATATTAGTGACAGTAATTTTTTTTAAGCTACGCACTTTTGACTGAACTTTGTCCTTCAAATTTTAATGCAAATACTTTTTTTATAACGTTTCAATCTGCTAGAAGCTCTTATCCATTAATGGGTATACTAAATTTGTAATCAATTTAAATAATTTAACATATATAATCCATTGCATATAAAATTTAAAGATCAAACTGACTTAAGGTGTGAATTGTTTTATAAACGTTTGGCCACTCTTTTCGTGGCGACAGTGTCCAAATTTATCAGTATGGCAATCTATTCATCTGTTGCTCGCTTTTGATTGCTTATGGTGTCCATTATTCATTTCGTCGCTTAAGTTTCAAAAGTTGTGCTATTTTGTAATACCCACTTTTAAGTAGTAGTTAAAAAACAAAATGTTTTCATTTAACTTATTACATATTTAAATGAAAAATATTTAAGACATTGACACAAATTGATTTTAGTCATATATCACACAACTTTTGATAGAATAGAAAAATAACCCATTAAAATATCAGAAATCATGGATTAAAAAAATCAGTAAAAGAAAGGAAAGAATTATAGTAATTATTTGCTTAATTGAATTGAATGATATGCAGATTTATAAATTTCCTATGTGGTTTCACCCCAATCCACTTGGGTGGACGTTGTATTTGGTGTCATCCCTTAACTTTTTGTCGAATGGCGTCAATTCCTTCAAACATTATATTACTTATATTACTCCACATAGAAGCATTTAGGGCCTAACTCTAACAGATATTAATTCAATTGCAAAAATTGTTTTTGTAGTAAATTGGAACATTTGTTTTGCAATCTTCTCTTTTACATATTATGAAGGTTTTATAATTTTATTAAACTCAAAGGCATTTCCAATAAGTGGTACCTTATTGTCACTTCCTCATAAACCTTGTTAAATTTCTACTACTTGATTTCACTGAATTGCTTGCCCAAACCTTACTTTTATATTACAATTGATGGAGGCTCACTAAATCTTTTTTTTTTTTAAATTATTTTCCTTCTCTAAAATTACTAAAAATTTTAAAAATAAAAAAGCTAGGCGAGTCTGAAGAAGGTGAACATATGAAGATGACAATTCATTTTTTTCAAAAAGTCTAGAGATCTAAATCTAAAAAAAAAATTTTTAATTCCAGAGGTTAAAATGATAATGGAGAGATTTTACATCACTGAGACATGCTGAAAATGGAAAACCATACATTTTGGGGCAGATTAATATCAAAGCTACGACAAAGGACTTCTAGTGCCTTCTACAGTTTTGAGCACAATACTCAAAGCCAACACTCTAGATCTAACCAAAGATTTTTGCAGAGAACAAAATCAACGCCAGTTTGTGAAACATCTGGAGAAACTAATTATCCAAAATATCGATCCACTAATGAAAGCTTCATACCAAAATGTCTTACAGGGATAAATGTTCAGAATGTACTGTTTGGTCATGGTTCAATTGAGAATTTTTCTCCCAACTGTTGGCTTGAAAATAATCTCCATAGGTTTGGGAGACTAACAGATGAGCCAGAACATGACACAGTAAATGATTCACTTAACAATCCACTGTCACCAGACTCATTCATATCATCAGTTCGAGCCATTGTGATGAGCAATCAAATAAACACTTTAAACCAAGCACTATCTAGCAGCAGTGAGAGCATTATTTCTTCACTGGCTTCCAGCACAATATCAGATGTGACCAACTTTTACCACAATTTAAATCTATCAGGTTATGCCTTTGATCCTGAAGCGATACCTCAAGACCCTCCTCCCTATTCTGAACTCTCTGATGATCCTCCACCACCTTATACAGATTCTTCTTTCACTGTGATAAATGATAGAAGCCAATCAAATCAGTTACATAGCGCAAGTTTTCAGGTTTTTGCCGATGATGCATGCTTGTATTGACCGTTTTATGTCTCCTCACACTTTTTAAAACTCAAATATTAATATTAAGTAAAATATTAAAATTCTGTGATAAGGAGTAAAAAATTGAAGTAAAGTAATCAAATGTTCTTTCAGTTATACAACTTTATGCTTGCATATTTTTGATAGCTTAATGTGTTTGGGATCTGATTATATTCAAAGCATAATCATATTATAAATGAATCTTTTTGTGACTATTAAATTCAAATTATTAAAATTGGTAATGAAGGGTTTACTTATCAATTATCATACATATCTTAACAGTACTAGTAATACCTCCTATTAATAAATTAATTCCTTTCTGACATTTCAAAGGCCTACATGCAGAGAAATTTCAGTGAAAGCATTAAAAAAGAATTTTCCCTATATATTTTTAAATCTTAAATTGTATACCTCTATATACTGGTAACCATGCAGATTTGCCTCATTCTAATCTTGCAATACTTAAAATGTATCAAATTACTGTCTATAATTTAATAGCTTTCAATTTCCAATATTTGCTAGCATATGCTGTTGAAAAATGTTGTATTTCCTGTTAATGTTTCTTTTTTTTTTTTGTAATATTTCCTTAAGACAAAGTCTTCCAATATGTATTTGATTGTAAATTGTTAAATAACTGTTTATGACTTTAATATTTCATAAGCACACTAAAAATTTTATATTTTGTGATAAAAGAATAAAGACTGGATTTATTTCAATAGTTTAATTGATAAAATTAAACAGTATATAACAGTTACACCAACCATGAATTTCATAAATTAACACAAACATGGATAAAAACATTGCATATAAGATATGCTTTAAATGCTTGCACCTTAGACCAACTTCCACTCACACAATTTTTTTTTACTCCTCTCTGTCATCAGTTCTTTTTTTCTCCACAATATTTACATTTTAAGATTTTTTTCCTTCAAATTTTTTTTTAAATTGCATTATTTTTTCCACTTTGATTCCACTTTTTTTCTTCCAATCTTCTCATTTTTTTTTTAAATTTTTTTTTTTACAGTGAACATTAATCCCACCACCCCCATCTCTTTAATATGCACTAAAGTTATGTAGGGTGCAAAGTTATCAATAGAATCAAACAAAAATAAATATCTAGCATGGCACCTGAAGTGCTGATGCAAGCCTGAAAAAGAGAAATACTCGTTAGTGTTTAAAAGATATGCCTGCAAATAACTGGAGAGCGATGTCCAAGAATGCTTAAAGAAACAATGCAATGAGCAAGAAAGCTTCAAGAAAAGAAATGGACGGTATGGAAGACTATTTTACGTTTGCATGGATTAACCCAGAGACTATCGCAACTAATCCCATAATTTGTGCCACGTGGAATCAAACTGTAAAGATGCTGTGGTAAAGCCTACAGCTAAACTTAAATGCTGAAAACGCAATTTGACTGGATACTTCATTAAAATATCTTAAGATCTTAAATTCAATCTGAATTTTTAAAATAGTTTAGCAATATTTTTCTAGGTTTATTTCTTTTTTTTTTTGCAGTGAATGTTTCAATAAGGACTGTAATAAGCTGCCCTGCGATACCTCCTGCAAATAAAGTAACATTGGCGTATGAGACAAAAAGATAGCTCTATATAAAGGAACATAATTTTGAGGAGGTCAAGCAGCTTAACACCAACCAATAGCAAAATTAATATTTCTAACAGCCTAATTTTCCCAATCTAATATACATACCCAAAAGGTCGACGCCCTCTCGGTGTAAATGCACCAGCATAGTATGGAGCAGCACCTCTTCCACCACCTCGTGCAACACCCCTGCCCCTAGGACGTCTGTTTGTACTGCTAATACCTGGACGATTTGTTCTCTTTGGAACTACCTAAAAAAAGTTGCTGCAATTATTTTCACACACACCATTTGTGCTTAAACATACAGATGAATTAGCAAATAGTTTAACCATATACCGTCCTGGGCATCAAAACTATTTTCCTCCCCTCCTTTTAACTAGCGTTAAAAAAATTAAAAAGCAATATACATAAAACTGGTCAAGTTTAGTAAGGATGAAGCTAAATAGCTTATTAATTTACAAATAATTAATAAAAATAACACTAATTCAAGAAAAACAAACAAAACTTCTATTAATATTCCTATAATTTATTTTTATTTTAAACGCTAACAAAAAAATTCAACTAAGTCACTGGGGCTACTTTCTTTTTCAATAAATACATTATAAATAAAACCCAATTCAACTGCAGAAGCATTTTAATTAAATTTAAATTCACTAATTATATTGCCAGTAATTTTGAGAAAAATTCTTAACTTTAGTGTTATTTCCCGCTTACACCGGTATCTTCAAAATCTCGTTACCAACCAGACTTAAGCTACTACATGTTAATAAATGTATTATACAAAGGGGACGGAGTGGTCTAACGGGGTCAAGTCAGTAGACCGTCGCTGAGACAACCCAGCTCTGATGGGTAAGTAAAGGCAGCTGGGCAAAGTGCTAATCACACTGTCCCTTCATATGCAGAGGTCACAGGAACAAGTGAACTCTGCTTCACTTGCCCCATAGATGTCAGGTTTGAAAGGGAACTTAACATAGTAGGGCGACCGTGGGCACACAGGACTGTAAAGGGTGAATAAAAACAATGTGTTAACCTTGAAGGTTGCTACACCAAAGTATGAAATCTTTAATTTAACAAGATATGCCTACCTATGGCGACCAAAAGTAGGAAGTCATACTATACCAAAACTACCAGCCACTTACTTTAATTTGTCTGCCCCTAAATAGGGATTCATCTAAAGCCATTGCAGTTATAACTGAATCTTTGTCTGCAAATTCTATATAAGCAAACCTGTAAAGAGACACAGAAATTTCTAAAATTAAAAGGGTCTGAAATTAATTTTAATAAATGGTTTAGAATTAATACTTATTAAACATTTAAATCAAAATAAACAATTTTGATAGTCAAGCCTTATTATTTATGCTTTTGTAATAGCAACTAGTATGAAATATAGTACGTAAAATTAATTCTCCATTATGTATAAACAAGTCACTGGGTCACAGTAGGCCTATATTATATTTTCCCAAACAGGAAGTACTAATAGTACTAAACAGGTACTTGGGGGCTTTGGTGAGGTCAACAGATCCACTGTAGCTACCTGGGGGGGATGGGGATTGTGCAAGTCCACACTGTTTTAGTAATGGTCATTTCTATTTTTTTTCAAATATTTAAAATGTGCAAAAATTCAAGGGGGGGGGGGGGGGGGGGGGGGAGAGAAGAGAGGAGGCAACAACTAAGTTTTAAAAAATTGGAATTCTGATGAAACCAGAAATTATATCTTCGTATTTTATTATATAGTAACTATAGGCCTAAATACAATTTAATTGTTGCACCATAGTACAAATTATTTAACTGATCAAGATCAGGAAGAAATGTGTAATCACAATAATCATGAGTCTAACATGCAAAAACATCATCTCATGATCAGTCAAGAAAAAGTCACACTATAAATCTAAAAAAAAAAACGTGATGTTAACGTTTTACCCTTTAGGATGTCCGGTGTATTTATCACATAAAATGGTTACTCTATTCACTGAACCACAACCATGAAAATGCTGTTCTAACTCTTCAGCTGTAGCACCATAATCAACCTGGCAACAAAATGGGTTAAACCAATCGAAGGAATAACAAGGAGAAAACTGCAATCATTGTTACAAACACTGTTAGAGTACAGATTATAGTTAAGCTGTCATAAAACAACTTGTATTGCTTAACTATGTGAAAAATGCAGTGTATAGGCTACAGCTTATAAACTAATATATCATCACTTACATTACCAACATAAATTGACTTCCCGTCAGCTTCTTGTTTTTCTTCTGGCGTAGGAAATGGCACCGCTGCAGCTAATTTTAAAAATTAAAACTTTGTGAAACTAATATTACAGCAGAATAACAAGTTAATATAAATTTTTAAAAAAGCTTAATGGGCATTGCAGTCTAAACTTACGTGTTGCTGTAGGAGAACTCATATTCATCTGTTTATCTACTTCTGTCTGCATCTCCTTCAATTTTTCAGCTTCCTCTTCCATTTCCCGTACTCTTGCTTTAATTGCTTCCAATTCCTGAAATGGAAATCTCAACATAAAAAAATGTTTGACATGGTAAAAAAAAAGTTAAGAAAATGGCAAAAATGATCAAGATCAGTTATTCATATTGTATTCATTTTACTCATTAGTCTAACATGCATAAACATCATTTCTTGATCTTAGTGCACAACAATAGACTATGCATTAAAAATTAAACACTCAAACATTTGAAAACTTACAAATATGAAATAATTTTACACATTCTATACTTCAACTGTTTTTAAACAAGCATTTTAGGCCTATAAAAAGAGCCTCTTAATTCGAATGAACACAAAATATTTATTTGAAATCAATGTTTATCTAGGACTCGAATATTCGATAGATTTCCCAGGAATGGCGTGCAATTTTTAAAAATTGAAACTTTTCAATTGGGTAAATTTTTGATTTAGAAAGAAAATCTAAAAATTAAGCCCAGGCCTGGGCATTATTGATGGCACTGAATGCAATATAATATTATTTTTTAGTCTTCTAAAATGACCTAAAAGGAAAAATAAAGCTTAAATTAAATGTAGCCGGTAGCCTAAAATTGAGCTAGATCTTTTTAGAATACTAGTCTAGATCTAACTGGAGTTTTACTTGACTGGCCAAGTTTTCAGTTAGGCCGATGCTATAAGACACATGCGCAATGGAGAGAAACTACGACTTGCCATCGCTGCGATGTTTTCGATGGTACTGCGTATGCGTGTTTTGCAACTGCAGAACCCTTACACTACACCAACCCTAATCCTAACCCTAGGTCACTGCACATGTGCAGAGCTATCTTTTGCTGACTTAGTGGAGACATTAGGGAGAAAAATCTTCCGAGTAGTCACTTCGTTTCAGTTATTGGAGCCCCCCCCCCCCAATTTGATTCTGGGATGTAGATTGCCGAGTCTCACAGTCTAAACTGAAACACAAGACAGACAAGCAGCTAGAATCTAGATTTCTAGTATTCTAAGTAGTAGAGTAGATCTCTAGATTCTTGAGTTTGATAAAGTCACTTCTTAAAGTTTAAAATATAAAAGTGATCTATTCTAGAAATCTAGATCCTAACACTAACACAACTAACAATAACAACTTTTAACTTTAGTTGTAATCTATTTTTAGTAGGGCCCTAGGCCTATATACTATATACTTTATTAAGTGTAATTAGATCTAGATCTGTTCTAGATTCTAGAAAATATATCTTACTGGGTCTTCTACGCCGCTATCTTCAGTGATGTTCGTGGCGTCACCCCCGCTTCCTTGTGTTAATATTGAGGAATCCTCTCCGAGAATAGCATCTGTTTCTCCATTCTCGTCGGCCATCATGATTAGATTCTAGTAAAATCTGTAAAGAATATGCATTAATACTATTAAATTTAAAATTCATCAATAAGTTAACAAAAAGAGCTGCTGGATTACGACAGATTGATAAAGGACTAACTAACCTAACTATGGGATTTTGCCAGCTATTGAACGTTCGTTAGGCCTAGAACACCGATCCTGTACACATAAGGCAAAAGATGAGAATATCGAAGCCAGTAAAGTATCGATATGACATTATGAAGGAGATCTGGACCTACTATTTTAAATTATTTAACTAAAATACTTCTTAAAAAAAGAATTATAATTTTTGCAACTTAGGAATGTATATGCATATTGGTCTTATTCGGACAAAAAGTAGACCTACTCAAAAAAGTAAATATAAAATTAGGCTTAAGCTTTATGATACTTCCTTCCGACGCATAGATCTAGATCTAGTATTCGTCGTTTATCATAACTTAGGCCTAACGATATCCTATTTTTCCGGTTCCGTTGTAGGCATACACAAGGCCCAACCAGGATTTTCAAAGATGTATGCCGAATTTATATTGTTAAGGGTCATTTGAGGCATACAGAGGCGTACAATGGTTTTCGGGATAGGAGGAGCGTCGAGTCAAGAAAAGACCATATAGAATCTATGTAGGGCTGATACCGTTATTAATATGTATCTATGCTTATGAATATACATATGTATCTTCACTTAACACTCATTAGGGGGGTTGGTACGCCACAGTTGATTCCTCATAATTTTCCGCCATTTGTCTCTGTTCTCTGAGTTGTTCTGCAAAGGGCATATATATATATATAATACATATATATATATATATATATATATATATATATATATATATATATATATATATATATATATATATATATATATATATATACACTAGCGTGCCCGTTCCCGCGCGTTGCCGCGTTCTCCAAAGAAAGTCTGACGTAAGATTTTAAGAGGGTTTCATCATTGCGTTACCAATCCTAATTTCTTAGACATGTGAATTGGTTTCTAACACTGAGTTATTGAAATGTAAACAATGCCTGCGCTATATTTCTTGGATCGTATTTGTCGGGGCATAAGTTTGCCTACTCTACTGCCCAGCACACACCAAGGCCTACTGTATGAAAGCCTTGAGTGTGCTTTAATCACTCTCCGTAATGGTGAGGTAGTACACACATTCGGTGATCTCCCAGATGTTGGGGAAAGCCTTGGAAGGTGCTCACAGGAGCCCTCGGTTACACTGCGGCAGGAGCGCTGCGTACGGCCCCTGGCTCGATTTAATAAACGAATGTCGTGTGCCATCGTGTCAATTTGTAGGGTGCTCGTTAAAACTAACGCTGGCGACATAGCGCACACAGGGCGTCATATCGCACCCTGCCGGGGCACCAGCGGACGCGCCTGATTCAAATTAGTTAACGACTTTAATACTCCATCTTATCGTACTTTCTATCACACTACTTAAAACGAATGTAGGCGCCATTCGCTTACAGGAAAGCCCGGGGAGCCAAATAACACCCTGCGGGGCGCCGGAGACTGTGTCTGTTGCAGCTTTAACCGCTGAATATAGTAAAACCCTTTATCCCCTGTGCAGGACGCTCAATAAACGGATACAAAGTGCTAAGATAGCAGCTTTGGAACTCATGGATGCGTAACCGCGTATTGACAAAAATCGATTTTTTGCAGAATCCTTCCCAGGAGTATTCTCATCAACTCCCCAAAGTTACATGGTGATCACATGAACGGTGTCAAACCGCAATCGATTTTTATTTTTATATACTGTATTTAGAGAAGAATCAAACCGTGCCCTGTGGGGCACCGCCCTTGCGAAATTTTAATATTTTTGTTCGCAGAAACCTCTGCAGGAGTATTCTCAAAAAAGGGTGTAATAAAACTTGCATATGCAGGTGTACTTTGATATATATATATATATATATATATATATATATATATATATATATATATATATATATATATATATATATATATATATATAGTTATTTAAATAGTAGTCTATAATTTATTTTCTACTTTTTAGTGCATCATTACATAAAAGCTTGTTATTAAAACGTTTTTTATGAATTTTTTTTCCTAACTAGGTTAATTAAAAAAAACTGCATTGCATAAATAACGTCATTTTTTATATTGCGAGAGTATTTTTTACAGCTTTTTAAAAAAATCACATGTGCATTAAATATTTAAAAAATACCACAAGTATTTTTAAAATAATTTTTTCCTATGCAGTTAATACAGGTATGTATGAAACAGATTTTAAGCTGCTAAATTGTCTAACAGTAGTTGTAGTTGATAAATAAACTTTTTGTCGATAACATTACAATTAAGTGTGGGTTTTTTTTAAATGTTATCCTTGATTTGTGTCAACAGGTGTATCAAAAAAAATGTGAATGTGTATTAAACAAATAAACAGATGATACATATGGCATAACAAATAATCTTGACATGGAATACATTCTATTGGTGATGGAGGAAATTAATGTTAATGACACATCTTTTACTAGCTGTGTTCACCAATGATGCAAACTGATTTATTGTAAAAGACATTAAAAAAAAAACTTTTCTAAATATTAAAAGAAAATAAATGACGAAAACAAACAACAACAATGGATAACACTATGAAGGCATATTTATTTAGTCACTTTATAATCAGCTCCAACATGAAGAACATCATTCTGGCAAAGGTTTACATCTTGCTACTCATACACAAGCCAGAAGTTCACGTTGAATCATTTTGAATCTGTTAACTAAAGATAACTTTTTCTACAATGTATGGTAAAATTGAACACACTGAAAAAAAAATTAAATACATGTTGAACAAAATTTGTTGCTAGACTATGATGGAACTCATGCTACCAACTATGATGAATCTCATGCTACCATCTAGCCACCAAAAAGTCAGAGGCTACCCTCTCATTAGCTCTCTCTCTCTCTCTCTCTCTTTCTCATTATTTTTAGAAATTGTTGAGTTTTGATAAGCATTTCATTCGTGAAAATTACTAGGCACATGTAAAAAAGTTGAATTCAAACAAGGAAACAAAACACTAACAAGGCAACATGAGCAGAGAAAATACTGAGGATTTGCACTGGAGATCATTGAAGCTGGCACTACAAGCAGCTCTCATAATGCTCAATCTCTGAAAGGTACCATGAGTACAATTTGATTGTTTATTTGTTTAAATGTGACCTACACGTTCAAAACTTTTAAAGAAATGTATATCTGTAACTAATCTATAGGCTTCAAAAAGAACAACACATTAATATCAATGAGTTTGGTGAATTATTATCCAACATCTCTTTCTCTATTTTTAAACGAAATGTCAGTCATATTTAGTTTTTAAACATGAATGAAGCAAGTCATAATTGAAGTTAGAACTGCCATAATGATACAAAAAACGGTTTCAGTTCTTGCCATTCCCTCAGCTATTTTTGTCACTATATCCTCGACACACTTCAAACCATCTGACAGGATGTGAAATCTTGACTTCAATGACTAAAGAAGGAAACAAGCTAAACATAATTTGGAAGAAGTATTTTCTAACAGTTTTGTACACAAAGAAGCTAGTCTGGTACTGTCTGTTATGATGATACACCAGTGCCATAATTGGCTCCCCCTGCTTTCCTCAGTGCTGTTGCAACTGTTTCTAATGCAATATCATGTTGGTCTTCTGCCAAGATTTCTACTGCAAAGTTCTGGCAAAACAAAATAAAAAATTCATTCAAAATGTGCAACGTAAACACAGTGAAACAAAAAATAGAACAATCAAATACTATTATTAGAAGTTTAGAAATACAGAATATATACATAAAATAAATCTAAAATGTTGCAAGCAACCATTAAAACCTCTTTAGGACAGAAGCAAAATTTAAAAATTAAATTTTAATTTGGGCAGTTGCTGAATAGAACATGCATGTACTCAGAAACACCTTACATATGTAAACCCATGTAGGCAGATATAAATCTGAGTGAGCTATTTAGACCCTTAAAGAAGGCTAAAATGAGATCATTAGCCCCTTAAACTGAAGGCTAAAATGAAACAGCCTCTTCAGGCTAGCAATGAGATCTTTAGCCCAGAAGCCAACTGGTGTAGAATCAACTTACTTTAATGACATGTTTAACAACTGCCTTATCCACACTCAGCTTAGAATCAACTTACTTTAATGACAAGTTTAACAACTGCCTTATCCACACTCAGCTTAGAATCAACTTACTTTAATGACAAGTTTAACAACTGCCTTATCCACACTCAGCTTAGAATCAACTTACTTTAATGACAAGTTTAACAACTGCCTTATCCACACTCAGCTTAGAATCAACTTACTTTAATGACAAGTTTAACAACTGCCTTATCCACACTCAGCTTAGAATCAACTTACTTTAATGACAAGTTTAACAACTGCCTTATCCACACTCAGCTTAGAATCAACTTACTTTAATGACAAGTTTAACAACTGCCTTATTGCCTTATCCACACTCAGCTAGAGAGCAACTGGTGTAGAATCAACTTACTTTAATGACAAGTTTAACAACTGCCTTATCCACACTCAGCTTAGAATCAACTTACTTTAATGACAAGTTTAACAACTGCCTTATCCACACTCAGCTTAGAATCAACTTACTTTAATGACAAGTTTAACAACTGCCTTATCCACACTCAGCTAGAGAGCAACTGGTGTAGAATCAACTTACTTTAATGACAAGTTTAACAACTGCCTTATCCACACTCAGCTTAGAATCAACTTACTTTAATGACAAGTTTAACAACTGCCTTATCCACACTCAGCTTAGAATCAACTTACTTTAATGACAAGTTTAACAACTGCCTTATCCACACTCAGCTTAGCTTTTTTGATTGGGCTCACGTCTTTCCCTGCCCATGTGATAAAAGCAAATTTGGCTCTTTTACTCATTTCATCGCCTGTTGTCACACGCACATAACCAAATAAGCGCTCATCATCTGAAAAACATAAAATCCTCAACAGTTAAAAAAACAACAGTTGTTTTCGGGGGGGGGGGGGGGGGGTTGAGGCCAAATAAAAACCCACCAAACAAGGAGAATACGAAGTAAAAAATAGAAACAACTAGAATACCCGTCATCCGTTGGATAACTGTGGGCTTCGGGGGTCATCCATCAAAAAACATCACGTCTGTCACTCAGAGGCATAGCGACCCTTCCCGGCGCCCGGGGACAAACTTTTCGATTTGAACCCCCCCCCTCAACCTTTCAATTTATTTTTCCAAACCATTTTAGCGCCCCAACATATGTCCCCCCCCCCCTTCCCCCCCCGCCTCCCCTCCCCCCCCCCCCGCCTCCCCTCCCCTCCCGCCCCCCCCCCCCCTCCTCGCTACGCTACTGCAGTGTCACTTATCGTCACAAAAACAGACCCCACATTCAAAAATATGTTTTTTATCTTTTAAAAACACCGAAAACAACGATTTCGGACTATCCCTTCATATACTGACGTCACAGGTGACCTACTCAACTCTACTTCACCTGCCCAGTGTCCCGCCAAGTCTCAGACAACAAAAACTATTCCAGCCGAGCATGTCTCTGACCACACTATCCCTTAATTTGCTTAGGACAAAGAAACAGATGAACCCTACTTCACCTGCCCTGTGCCCCGCGAGGTCCTGATAGTCAACCTTATCATTCACATATAGGGCTTAAGAAAAAATAATTGAAAACGTAAAAAAAAAAAGTTCTATTAATGTTTATGACACTGACTTTAAAATTTAGCCTTCATTCTCCAAAGCAAATTTTAAAATGCTTTTCTGGCATATCTAGCCCTGGCCACCTATACAATGTTTAAATAATGTGAACACCCGCCATTTTGTTCGTGGTAAACATGGCCTAAAAATGATCGGCAGACATGCGTCCGGTCCGTACGCCATATTGTTGTTAGCAGCCGACCACGCCTCCAAGCTAGTGAGTAATCCTACTTTATCTAGATATAGAACGTAGATAACAAAAAAAGCCCATGTATTCTCGAATTAGATGATCATTGAAGCTAAACAAAGATTTATATAAAATAATTAAGGCCCGAAATAGATTCTAGATGTAGAATTTACATTAATCTAGATCTAGAATTTACATTGAGTCTAGTGACCTAGATCTAGATCTAGGCCCTAGGCTAGATTCTAGATTCATAACTTTCCTTCGACAGCAGATCTTTAGATCTAGAGAAATTTATTGTAAAACTAAATGAAAAAGCCAGTTGAAAATTGGTATAAGTGTTGGAACGTAATAAATACAGCAAACGGACGTATTGTTAAAGTTAAAGCCGACAGAAAATTAGCTTTAGAACGCGTTAAACATTGGAATGGGAACACAATCTTCTTCGATAGGCCGCCATTATCGATGTAAAAAAATAAACACATCATGTGACGTCACTGTTTCCGTCGAGTCTAGTGGCTTTTCAAATATTTTTTAAAAAAATGGGTTAATCTGCATATGAATAAATCAATTAATTAATTAACGTCTTTAAATAAATTTGTGATCAACAGTCTGTCTGCATTAAAAAATTATTCTCTACCTGCATACCATTTTACAGCTTTCCAGATAGAGTCGAACATATCACAATTTTCGATCAGGCAAACAAATAAATATTCAAACATGTAAACAAAGTTGAGTTTTAGTAGTATATAGATGATATATCTCGCACCTGTAAATCGAGAGAGGAATTCCTGATAGTCAGATCCTTTGCTGTCAATCTCAATCAAGGTGCCGTTAAAATGTAGAGTAAACCTGAAATATATTCAAGATTTTCATTGATTAATTCCCCTTATTTCAGATTTTAAAATAATGGGTTAGCTCCCATACCTTAACCAAATGTTTTTATTTATGAACATTTGGCTAACCTTTAGATTAGAAACAGGTTTACCATATTAATTAATTGAGGCTTGACTGAAACAGAAACAAATAAAGTTAATGTCTTTGTATCACTTAGGATAGGGAATGTGCTTAGTGTACCTGACCATAGCAGAAATATTAAGAGAGGTTTGAGCCCAGGTCACTCATGAAAATAAAAAGTGGATCAAATGGTGGTTTGGTGGGTGTGTCTACATCAACTGGTGTTTTGGTGTGTGTGTGTGTGTGTGTGTGAATCAACTGGTGGTTTGGTGTGTGTGTGTGTGAGTGTGTATGTGAATCTACTGGTGGTTTGGTGTGTGTGTGTAAATCAACTGGTGGTTTGGTGTGTGTGTGTGAGTGTGTGAATCAACTGGTGGTTTGGTGTGTGTGTGTGTGTGTGTGAATCTACTGGTGGTTTGGTGTGTGTGTGAATCTACTGGTGGTTTGGTGTGTGTGTGTGTGTGTGTGTGAATCAACTGGTGGTTTGGTGTATGTGTGTGTCTGTGAATCTACTGGTGGTGTGTGTGTATGAACCTACAGGTGGCTTGGTGTGTCTAGGTTTTATTCAAGTTCAACAAACTGCCTGCCAGAAGCCCCCCCCCCCCCCGAAACTTTTTTACCGCCCCCCCCCCCCCCCAGAACGAAATGAAATTTATATAATTTATATAGAAAATATATACTTTTAACAGTGTCCGCCCCCCCCCCCCCCCGAAGAATGTCTACCGCCCCCCCCCCCCGAAAATTTCAAGTGCCCCCGGAGAAAAAAAAAGTCATGAAGAAACACTGCTGCCTGCACCCCCTCTAACTTGTTGCAACCAAGACATGCCTTGTGAGAGGCCCGGATGTAGACCTAGTGCAAGAAGACCCTGTATGTAACCTACACACCTGCTTATTATCGATTTATGTGCAGAGGTTTTCTTTCAACACCCCAGCCTCCACATCCCAAGCCCCCCCCCCCCCCCCCCAGCTTCTACTGGCCTAGGACTACACATTGAACATACATTGACGTAGGGTATACAGGTAGAATTTCATATCCCGCTTATTTCGTTAGAAGCTGTATGGGGGTCGTCCATAAATTACGTCAGTCGAAGGGGGGGGGGGAGCAGTGTTTCTTCCAGACTTTTTTCTCCGGGGGGCACTTGAAATCTTCGGGGGGGCGGTAAACTTTCTTCGGGGGGGCGGACACTGTTAAAAGTATATATTTTCTATATAAATTATATAAATTTCATTTCGTTCGGGGGGGGGGGGGGGGGGGGGCGGTAAAAATTTTTCGGGGGGGCTTTGCCCCCCCCGAAGAGATGCCTGGAAGAAACTCTGGGGGGGAGGGAGTTCGTAATTTTGTGACGGTGTGTGATGAGGGGGAGGGGGGTGCAGATGGTGTGACGTCACACTTTTGCATTATAAATAAACCGGGAGTGATCTCCCCTAAACTTTCTCGAATATTCTAATATAACACTACGGGGGATGGCAACTCGGGATATAGACTTCTAGACATGATTTTTAATCCATTTTAAATACTCAAATTTTTAAAAATAGAATATAATCTCGTAGAAAAAAGAAATGCACACCAAGTGAACGCTAAATAAAGATGTGCATAATAGTGCGCAATATTATTAGTACTTTATAAATTTACATGCGTTTTTTGAGAAATCGGAAATAGCGTAAATAAGTACTTCAGGTCAACGGAAATTACTCAAAATTTGATAGGAGGTAGAGAATTAGATCTTTTACTTACATATAAAATTTCATTTATCTATCTGAAATAGTACTCAAGTTATAGGCTCTTGAAAAATTCAAAGTAGAAAAAGTACCACTTCCGGTTATCGGAAATCGCTCAAAAGTTGATACGGATCAACGATTTTGATAAAATACTTACATATGAAATTTCGTCAACCTAGCTGTAACGGTACTCAAGTTATCGTGTTTACACACGGACACACACACACACACACACACACAAGGACAAGATTGCAAAATTATGTTTTTCCGTATCAGTGAGATGTAAAACGTCGAGATTTGTAAAAATCTCGATTTTTTTTTTGCACGATTACAAGACTTTCTCTATACTTCGTATATACGAGAAAAAAAAGCAATGTTAGAAAACTAATTTTAGCCATTATTTCGCGTTTAAGAGAACTGTTTTAATAAATTGAAGTTGGAATTGATTAAAATACTCTGTTCAGACAAGATTTAGGAAAAATATCGTATTTTCAGAAAAATTCAACTGCAATTTTTGAGTGGCATAGGGAAAGGTTGACTTGTGTACATGTAAATGTAATGTGTCAAATCGGTGTGATGTGTAGGTTTACTTTGTACTGGTACCAAGACATCAGTTTGATATGTAGGTTTACTTTGTACTGGTACCAAGACATCGGTATGATATGTAGGTTTACTTTGTACTGGTACCAAGACATCAGTTTGATATGTAGGTTTACTTTGTACTGGTACCAAGACATCAGTTTGATGTGTGGGTTTACTTTGTACTGGTACGAAGACATTACTTTGATGTGTAGGTTTACTTTGTACTGGTACCAAAACATCAGTTTGATGTGTGGGTTTACTTTGTACTGGTACCAAGACATCGGTGTGATGTGTAGGTTTACTTTGTACTGGTACCAAGACATCGGTATGGTGTGTAGGTTTACTTTGTACTGGTACCAAGACATCAGTTTGATATGTAGGTTTACTTTGTACTGGTACCAAGACATCAGTTTGATGTGTGGGTTTACTTTGTACTGGTACGAAGACATTACTTTGATGTGTAGGTTTACTTTGTACTGGTACCAAAACATCAGTTTGATGTGTGGGTTTACTTTGTACTGGTACCAAGACATCGGTGTGATGTGTAGGTTTACTTTGTACTGGTACCAAGACATCGGTATGGTGTGTAGGTTTACTTTGTACTGGTACCAAGACATCGGTGTGATGTGTAGGTTTACTTTGTATTAGTACCAAGACATTATTTTGATGTGTAGGCTTACTTTGTACTGGTACCAAGACATCAGTTTGATGTGTAGGTTTACTTTGTACTGGTACCAATGTGACCTACTTAGGTCGAGTCAGGTTCTATTTTTATGTTGACATTGTATAATACCTTATATGGAGTGATTGTGCAACAACCGGAAAATTTCCACTGACTTATTAAGGGGTCTAAGATATAGAAATTTTCCATTAAGATCTGATTGAATGATTCTAATCAGACGACTACCCCATAGCTCAATGGCTAGGATCTCGGCGCGCCACGGCGGCGGCCGAGGTTCGAATACTCGGTGAGAAACTGAGTAGAGTCTATGGTGCCTAGTGGTCTAGTGGCTTAGAAACTCGGCTGGCTGCCGAGTAGTGTGGCATAGTGGTTAGGAACACCACTAGTGGCCTAGTGGTTAGAACCACGTAAAGTGTCACACCATAGGAAACACAACCAGCACGATAACAGTAGCTCAGGTGGCCTTGAGTGATCTGTGAGTCTCCATTTGAGACTTGTCGCAGGCAGTCTACATGGCGATTTTACCTTGATCAGGCAGCCGTCCATATTGTCCGGCTATAGACTCTGACCATTTGAACGTGAGAGAACTTAAGTCCTGTGTGTGCCTTGCTTTCTTAAGTTGATTTAGGCTTCTAGTATAATATTACTCGTCGCTGAGTTATTCTAGAAGCTATAGCAGTGTTGTGTGGCCTGTAGTTATTTAGACAGTGTAGAAATCTGTGATAGTGTTTTTCCTACATTTTGTAAGTTGTGTTTTGACATTTTATACATTAAATACTTTAACTAGTTCAACCTTGTGTTTTGCCACAACTGTGTTCGCTGATTAAAGTTGTATGTAGATTGGATGAGTGTTAATTACAATAGTATCACTAGCTTCCCTAGACATTGAATTCGAGCCCTAGTGTGTCGTTGTGTTAGTGTTCTTCCACTTAGGCCGTAAGGCATTTGCATATGACCCCGAAAAAAGAATCCGGGGACGTTCACCGTCTATTTGGCTGATAGATAGGGGACGTTACACCAAGACATCAGTTTGATGTGTAGGTTTACTTTGTACTGGTACCAAGACATCGGTGTGATGTGTAGGTTTACTTTGTACTGGTACCAAGGCATCGGTATGATGTGTAGGTTTACTTTGTACTGGTACCAAGACATCAGTTTGATGTGTAGGTTTACTTTGTACTGGTACCAAGACATCGGTTTGATGTGTAGGTTTACTTTGTACTGGTACCAAGACATCAGTTTGATGTGTAGGTTTACTTTGTACTGGTACCAAGACATCAGTTTGATGTGTAGGTTTACTTTGTACTGGTACCAAGACATCGGTGTGATGAGTAGGTTTACTTTGTACTGGTACCAAGACATCAGTTTGATGTGTAGGTTTACTTTGTACTGGTACCAAGACATCGGTATGATGTGTAGGTTTACTTTGTATTAGTACCAAGACATTAGTTTGATGTGTAGGCTTACTTTGTACTGGTACCAAGACAAAAGTCTGATGTGTACTTGTACATTGTACTGGTCTGTTAGAAGTGGTCGAAATTTCGCTCGCCATGTTCAATCCACAAAAGACAAAAGCAAGAGGAAGCAAGTTAAACCAAAGCTTGTAAAAACAGCAAACGTCTGCTAAAACAGCACACCTCCGTCAATTAAAACACTGTCTAACTGAAGTTGTTGGGTCTTGATTTGGTCTTTACGCAGATCACAGTCTTGGTTTCAGTCTTTGAAGGAAATGTGTCTCATGAGGTTTCACTTGTCGTGGCACTCCTTGTACATCAAGTCTGAACCCACTTGTCGCACACACACACTTGAAGACTGTGGGAACACACCTCAGTACTACTTGTGCATCAAATATCTGACAACTAGCTGGTCCATCTGCCTAGACAGATCGCCTCCTCTCTCTCTCAGCTAACAT